ATCCACACGTTCCTTCCCTGAATGGTAGGGTTGATGTGATTGGTGCTCTCGGAGGTAGAGGGATAAAGAGGAAGTGGCTCTACATGTGGTAGCGTGGCATAAAGGTGGCCAGGGCTAGCCGTGGTGAATGCTTGCCAGAATCCAACAAGATCTGATCACTTCTCTTCTCAACACTCTTTAGCAGCTCCCTATTGTCTACTCTAAAATTTAGGCCAACTTCACAGCCTGGTATTCAAGGTCTTTCATGATGTGGTATTACCTTGCCCTTCCAGCTTTATAGTGTTTTCTTTTATATACTGTTATGTTTCAGGTGAACTGGGCTACTCAGTGGCCTCTGAACACATTTCCTGCCTCCATGTCATTGCTTATGCTGTTCCCTGAAATGCCTTCTTTCATCTTCTTCACTTGTCAAATTCTCCTATCCTTTAAATGCCCAAGTTAAAAAAACCACCTTTTCTGGGAAGCTCTCTAACCTCCTTTTGCCTTTTCCCCTCCCCCTCATTATACTTTATTTTGAATGCACTGAGCTTGCAGTATTGTGTATTTTAGTTATCTTTGTATTTCCCTGTTTAGAAGCTCTTTGGAGGATGAGGATTGTGTCTTATCAGTAGCTCTTTATCTCCTATGGAAGCTCATTGCAGGTTTGGATAACTCTAATTGTTATGAAGTCAGTTCATGTCAGTTGTTTTCAGGACCTTCTCTTTTATGTTGGGTGTGTTTGTGGGGTTTTTTTTAACCATTGCCCTGGCTGGATCACTTCAAGGATAAAAAGATTGTTTCTTAAAAAAAAAAGTAAATCTGTGAACTGTAGTTTTTAGTGAGATAGCTTGAAGAAGCTACTAGGACAGTGTTTGAGCCATTGTACTTCTAATATGTAAAGCATTTTGCATACCTTAAAGCACTATATAAATGCTAGCTATTGTTATTAATAAAATACCATTTCGCAAGGATATGAATTTTTTTTCAGAAGAAGACATCATCTTTAGACCAGTGATGATGGGGTAAGAGCAAAGTAATACAACTCTGAAGTTTTATAACCCATTTAGTTGGCAAAGATGAGAAAAATGCCAAGAATAGTTAGTGTTGTTGGCTCTATGGGAAGATAGGCACACTAAGGCACAGTTAATGGAGCTTTGACTTGGTCCAGCAGTCCTGGGAATAATTTTAGAATTATGTGAGGAAAGTCACAGAACTGTTGCCCTTTGCCCTCCCAATCTAATTACTAGGCACATACCCAAAAGGAAGACAGTGACTGAAAGAAAGGTCTTATGTGTAATAAAATATTCATAGCAGCGTTCTTTGTCATAGCAAAAAAATGGAAACAGAACGTGTGCCCATCTGTTGGGGAATGGCTGAACAAATTGTGGCACATAAATGCAATGGCATGTTTAGCGTACTGTAAGGTGGCGAATATGAGAAATTCAGAGAAACATGGGACGATATGTATGAAGTGACTCAGAGTGAAGAAGGCAGAATCCAGAGAAGAATTTACACAGTGACTACAATAATGTAAATAATAACAATAAAAAGCAAATTTGGAGTAATTATAATGGTCTGGAGACCTGATAAGGACGTTGCAGTAGAGAGGACTACACATGTAGAATACTGGATATACTGTCAAAAAGAAGTTGATTTTCAGGAATTTTATTTAATTCTGTAGTGCTAGGGAATATCTTCAATCCTAGATGATCAATGGTTAGAGAACTATAATTGCCGTATGTGAAACATAGTATTCACTGTTTGTTTTAAGTAAGCCAAAAGTGATAGGAATTTTGGGGGGAGGTGATTTTAAATAATTAATGCTTTTTGCTTTTATATCACAATTTTTTCTGAATATATCCTTTCCCTTCCCCTGTTCAGTGAGACTGTCTTTGTAACAAAGGAAGGACAAAAAAAGGCTAAGCAAAACCAAACACCTTGGCCACATCTGACAGTACATGCAACATTTCCCATCCTCTGCTAAGAAGGGAGAGAGGTACATTTTCTCAACTCTTCCCCAGGACCAAGCTTAGTTCTTATAATTACACAGCATTCAGGGTTTTTGTTGTTGTTCTTTCTGTTTGTATTGTCGTTGTCATTGTGTATATTGTTTTTCTGCTTCTGTTTACTTCTCTTTCTATCAGTTCATATAAATCTTCCCATTTCTCTGAATTTTTTATAGCTATCATTTCTTACAAAGCAGTAGTAGTCTGTTGCATTCATGTACCTCAACTTGTTTAGCCATTCTCCAAGTGATGGTCATCTGCTTTGTTTCTATTTCTTTCTTACTACCAAAAAAAAGTGCCACAATGAATATTTTGGTATATAGCAGTCAGGCATCTATTAAGTGCTTACTGTACAGGTTCTCTGTTAGGTGCACAGAATACAAAAACAAATGGGGCTTGTTTTTCTGTCTTTTGACCTTCTTCAGGTATATGTCCAGATGTTGGATCTTTGGGTCAAAGGCCATGGACATTTCAGTCACTTTTTTAAAAAGCATAATTCCAAATTATTTTTCATAGTGTTTGGCCCATTGACAGTGTATTGATACGTCTGACTTCCCACAGCCTCTTCAACATTGACCATTTCCATCTTTTGTCATTTGAGCCAATTTGTTGGAATGAGGTAAAACCCAGATTTGTTTTAATTTTGCTAGAGATTTGGAGAAATCTTTCACATGATTGTTAATGGTTTGTAATTCTTTTGAGAACAGTTTATTCATGTCCTTTGACCACTTATCCATTGGGGAATGGTTCTTGGTCCTATGTATTGGTGTTCATTACTTATGTGTCTTGGTTATCAGGCCCTTTATGGAGATATTTGATGCACAATTTTTTCCTAACTGACAATTTTCCATTATTATCCTAGCTGTATGAGTGATAAGATTTTAAGAATGAACCTGAAAAAGCATTGCTATCAGAAGAATGAGGGTGGGATTATGAAAGCGTAGCACTTCCTTGGTAGGTTATAGTCTCTTTACAAATCCATCTCTTTAAAGAAAAATCTGTTATTGTTACCTGCTGTTTGAGTTGAGCAAGCAGAAATATTAAGTTTTGATTCTCCATTTCAGTGATCCTCTTAAAAAATGTTCAGTTCTAGGGATCCTCATGTAATTTTCTTTTTGTAGAAATGGAAAGATATGGGCCAGATGGAGGCACAGTTAGGTAGATTTGGAACTAGTTGAATAGCTGGAACCAAAGAATAGTGATTTATGGCTTGATATGTAACTGGAGAATGTATTCTTCAGTGCAGTGCTTTAGGGATTGGTAGTTGGCCCTGTGTTACTTTCAATATTTATATCAATGACTTGGACAGAAGCATAGATGGCGTGCTTATTGGATTTATAAATGGCACAAAGCCATTTCTGGGTGGCTAACATATTGGATGACAGAGTCTGAATCCCCAAAGACTTGACAGACTAGATTATTGAGCCAAATCAAACATGATGCTTTTCAATAGAGATAAATGTGAAGGTAGCCTCACAAGTTCAGGATGGAGGCATGGCTAAACAGCAGTTTATATGAAAAGGATCTTGGGGGGTGAGTGGTTTAGAGTAGGGCTTCTCAAATTTTTTCCCCTTCGTGACCCCTTTCAGCGCTTCTTAAACTGTGGGTCCTGATTTAAGGACCCACAGTTTAAGAAGTGCTATTTTAGAGGGCTGAAGCTTAATATGAATCTGCATATGATCATGACAGCCAAAAAAGCTCCCATGATCTCAGATTGCACAGTGTGGTGGACACGCTATGTGCCGTATTTTAGGAAGGATCTGATAAGCTGGAGAGTAGTATCCAGAGGAACCAACTATGATAGGGAAGGGCCTCAAGATCATGTTATAAGAGGATGAGTTGAAGGAACTGGGAGTGTTTAGCTTGCAGAAGAGGAGACATATCAATTGTCTTCAAGAAATTGAAGGCTTGGCTCAGATTCTTATAATCCAGCCAATGGCTCACTAATGTTCAGACTCCTTAAGAGTCTGGCCAATATGGCAGATCTTTAATAAACCTTGTGTTTGACTGAAAGAAGGCTTGGGTCGAATTCTTTCGGGCAGGACCCGCCTGTTGTGATTTTGGGGTCCCAGCACCTCTAAACCTCATCATTTTGGTGGCTTTGGCTGGAAAAAAAAAGAAATTGAAGGCTTATCATGTAGAATGGCTGTCATATGTTCTACTTGGCCCCAGAGGGCAGACCTAAGAGGAAGTTGCAGAGACAATTCTGGGCTTGATGCCAGGAAAAAAAATGCATCCTAGTTCAAGCTGTCCCAGAGTGGAGTGGGCTATCCCTCATCAGGACTTTTCAATCAGAGGCTGGATGATCACTTGTCGAGTCTGTTGTATGGATTGGCTTATGTGACCCCTGAGGACATGTCTGACTCTGAGATTCTGTAGAGGAGCCTCACCATGGTCTGTTGGGTAAAATGCGAGGAGGTCCTTGTGTCTCTAGGTATTGTCAGTTTCAAAGGAGAAAGCAAATTTCGTTGATGAGCTTGTCTTCTCCTAGTAGCCAAACTAGTAGGGGAATACTCCTTCAAGGTTGGAGATGAGAACCTGTATTCGTTAATGCTGCCTAACAGAACTAGACTTTGCCCAGTAGCAGTGCTCTTGGTCCTTTTTAAGATCATAAACTTGCGAGTTGGCGGGCTGAAGTGGATTGAGAACTTGCCTTGACAGCAGGAAGCCCTGGGTTCAATTCCTACCTCTGACACTGGCTGTGTGATTGTAGGAAGCCTCTTCACCAGTCAGGGCCTCTGAGCAATTGTTTAGGACCATTAGTTGCAGTGCAGGTGCTGACCTACATTGGCAGAAGGAGTTTCCTCACTAGGGATTGTCCTAGGCCCTATCCTATATGCAAGCTTGAGATCATTTGGGAAACCTAGGGTCTCAGCCCAAATCAATCAGGGTCTAATTTTAATTGTAGAAACTTAGAAGTTTCCATCTCTTTTTGACATGCCAGTGCTAGTGGGATTTTTCCAAATCTCGATCTTGATTTCCCTTTAACATCATTTTATTTTTTTTCTCCTTAAGGAGCATTGAGGACACAATGACTGTCAGCATAGTTTACGATAACTCTGAGGCCATGGAGCTGTGTGCAGCTCAGCACCTGTATCTGAAGCCTATAGCCAGACTGACCATCAATGTGATGCTGCCCGAAGATGTCACATACACTAGATCATTTTCCAACTGGAAGATACTAAACCAGCTGAAGAATCTCATTTGCCCAGATCAGTTTAGCACTGTCCGACTTTCAAAGAGCACCAAGGACTTCATTCGATTTGAGGGTGAGGCAGAGACCAGAAGTCTGGGTCAGATTCTGAAGGCAAAACTGCATGGGAAGATCATTAGGCTGAACGGGTTGAAGAACGGCTTGAAAATCGTGGCCACAGATGCCTGGCTAGACTTCCCATCTCAGCAAGAGTGGGAATTGGCCTCCCAGAAAAACCAGGCGGCAAGTGATGAGCTTCTTAAACAAAACCTTAATGAGAGCCCCGATTCCATCTACTTTCAGGGGTTGCCCTGCAAGTGGTTTGCATCCAAGGGCTCCAGTGGGGAAAAGCCATGTGAAGAGATCCTCAGAGTGGTGTTTGAAAGCTTCGGGAAAATAAAGAACATCGACATTCCCATGCTTGATCCTTATCGAGAAGTGATGGCCACTGGCACCTTCAACCATTGTACCTTAGGCAGCCTTCAGACTTTTGAAGCCTTTATCCAGTATCAGGAGTATGCTGATTTTGTCAAAGCCATGGAATCCCTCAGGGGAATGAAGCTGATGCTCAAGGGGGAAGATGGGAAAGCCCTGGCCTGCAACATCAAGGTAACAGACCTGACTGGGATTTGCAGATGGGACGGAGCCGAAATGAAAACATCTGGACTGACGTTGTGCTTCTGGTCCCGTTAGGCATCCAACTGACAACTAGTATCTGGAGCTCAGTTGTCATGACATTGGGGTTTTTAGAGAGAAATCTATTTTTGGAATGTCTTCTTTTCTTCTTCTGTAATCAGGCATGCCATTAACTAGTGTTTGAATTGATGGTGATTAAAAATGGCTAGGAAGAAGAGGACAGGGCATGTGATTGTTTCTCAGGGTTATGGTATGTTGTTGTAACTTGTTAGGGTTTTTTTTTTCTTTCTCTCTGCCCTCACATCCAAGAATGATGTGAAAATATGAATGAATGCATAATAACTAAATAGGATATGACAATCTTAATGTCCTTTGTTTCAGAGATGTGGTTCCAGTTTCTCTGTGTGGAACGTTTACTTTTAAAACGTTGGGTCATACTATCATGCATTTAGAGCTGGAGGGGAGGTTAGAGTCTGTTGAGTCTCTCCCCACCCCTACCTCTACCTCCCCCCATTGTTAAGTGACTTGCCTAGGATCACACAGCTGGTAGGTATCTGAAACAGAATTTGAACCCAGGTCTTCCCTACTCCCAAATCCATTACTTATAGGATCACAAATCTGAAAGGGGCCTTAGAGATTGTCTAGTTGCAACCCCCTTATTTTACAAAGGGGGAAATGAGGCCTGGAGAGGCTAAGCAACTTGCCTAAGGTCACACAGTTAGTAATTAGCAGAGTTGGATTTGAATCCAGGTCCTCTGACTCCAAGAGTCAGTTATCTTTCCTCTGTGCTATGCTGCCCCTCACTCTCTCCACTACAGCTATGAAGGCTTTAGTTTTGGTTTGGGTTGGGTTTTTTTTGACATCCCTGATTTCGGTTTTAATGGAACTGGGGGAAAAAAGGTCTTTTATTGAGGGACATGTTTCTGAAGCCAAGAAACTTCCATATTTGGGAGGTTAGGACTTGACAAAAACCACCAGGAAAATCATAGGAGCTTTGGCTTTGGGGAAATAAAGAGGCTAGCATTTGCAACATTAGCCCACGTTCCACCAAGAAAGGAGTGAAAAATTGGAAAATGGTTTAGTAACGTTGTCCAAAAAGGAAATGAAGTTCCTTTGGCATGGCCTGTTCTTGGGGAAGCAACTGTTTCTTTGTGATCTCTGACTGCTTCCTTATCTAAATGGTCGCTGACCATTCCTTTAATAATATGGTCTAGAATGTAGCCAGAAAAATGAACTCAGATTCCCTTTGTAGGCTCCATTCTCTTTCCTTTTTTTGAAAATTAGGACAATGTTTGCTTTTCTCTGGTTCTGGAGCAATTATCTTGCTCTCCATGTTATTCAAAGCTCATTTAAAGCGGTTTAGCAGTCACTTCCACCAGGTCTTTCAGCAGCTCGGGTTCGAATTCGAATTCATCTGGTTCTCGTGTGACTTGAACTCAGTAAGTATAACTAAGTTCTCTCTTATATCCCTTTACTTCAATTTCAACACTCCTGCTTTTCCCTAATATAGCTCTAAAACCCAGTTTTGTTGTCCTTAGCTTTCCTTACCTTCGTCATTCTGATATCCCTAATTCTCTTCTTCTAGGGACTGTGCGAAGTATTGGTATTCATCCTCTGTTATGTACCCCTGCTTTCATCTTCTCTGCTTGACTTTGAAATATCAAATGGGTTGATGAGTTCCCCATGCATTCATATCTTTAGACGTTTTCCTTCTTCCTCATTGGAATTATTTCTTGTTATGTCCCCAGAATTTCATTCTTGGATGCTTCCAATCCCTCTTGGACTGACTTTGTCTGGTAGAATTTCAGGCCATCGGGATCCTATCTATCTCTTCTCCAAACCCATTAAAATGTGTTATCCCCCAGTCTAGGTACACGGTGCCACACTAAGCTCAGTTTTTGTCTCCTTCTAGCATAAATTCTAAGATAGAGTGGCTATTTCCTTGCCAGGTTCCCATCATTTTTGCCCCCATAGCCAGTTCTCCTTTGCAAGTGAGATTATAAATTTCTTTTATTGGTTCCTCTACCTTTTGAAGAATGAAATTATTATTAAGGTAAGTAAAGAAGTTGTTAGCTTCCCTGCTTTTAGTACAGAGAGAGAGGTCCAGCAGATGTCCAAATAATGGAAGTCCTCTATCATGCTTCAGGGCCAGTCTCGTGATCTGGTTCCTGAACTCATCTATTTTCTTTTTCTGCTTGGGTGGTCTGTAGTGTATTCTGATGACAATATCACTTCTGTTTCTGCCTCTATTGATCTTTTCCCAGATGTTCCCTGCCATGCTTTCCTTCTCTGATCCCTGGATTTCTTTGCATGAATATATCTTCTTAATAACCCTATGTGCTATTTTTCCCTTCTACACTTTTTACCTGTGTTATTCCTCTGGAATATACCCTTCCAGAGCCCTATTGCAGTCATAAGTCCGATTCAAATTACATCTCAACAATACCTCTGAGGTAAGATTTGTCTAGCTGAGGTTAGGATTTTCAGTTCACCTTGTTTATTACCCATACTTTGTGTATAGAGATTTGAGGCCCCGGGTCTTTGAGTGGCAGTTTTATACCTTCTTGTTGGTAGCTTTTGACTCTAGGAATATTAAAAGCCCTTAACTTAGTTCATCTTGGTGGTAACCAAGGTGATATGTTGACAACTTGTATGAGTGTTCCCCCAGAGGGGCACATGAAATCACCTTCCTTAACTGACATGAAAATGTGCAAGATAACTTGTAATGAGTCATAAGAGGAGGCCTGTTCTCCAACACTTATGGCCTGAGGCAATTCTAGCCTCTTGTTCAGAGAAGCAGCTAGACGCTGTCGGATTGGGGATATGCCATGGTCATGTGGAGTCCCTTCAACTGGCTGTGTGCCCTTTGGATATGGTTCTCCTGGCTGGCCAGTCAGACTCAGTAAATCCTTGGTTTCTCCAAGCCACTGAACTCACCTTCTTACTGAATCTTCCCCTTCTTTTTGGGCAGGTTATGTTTGATACAACCCAGCACTTCAGTGAGGGCGCTATAAGGAAAAGAAACCAGGAAAGGTTAAAATTGCAAGAGCTGGAACAGGAGAGAAAAAGAGAAAAGAAGCGAGAAGAGGCGGAAAGGTGAGCTTAACTTTTTGTCAACTCTTTAACTTGGTGGGTTCATCTCATTCAGGAGGAAATCCACGCAGCAGGCATTGGCTATGAGGGCCCTGATTGTTAGGAGTAAAACAAGCACAGGCCAAGACTGGCCGAAGCTCAAAAACACAATCAAAGGCTGTGTTTGCTCGGCTTGTTGGTTGGTTTGTCTGTTTCATGTAGGAAGTCCCCATCTTGGACTAGCTTCGTCTTGGTTGTTCCATTGTGTTGGCGTGAAATGAGAATGATTGTGGCTGGAGGTTCCTTTTTTCCCTTATTCAACTTTTCTTTTTTTTTTTAATTATGAATTCAGACATCAACAAACACGAACATTTTCATGTATGTGAAGAACAGAAAAAGAACATTGTATGTGAAACAGTGAATCGCATGTATTTTTCTTAAAAATACATGTGTGTGTATATATATACATACATACATGTATGTGTGTATATGTATATATATACATGTATATGTATGTATAATTTTACCCAACAATACCACCATTTCCCTGCTTCCCTCTAAACCTGCTGATCTTCTTTCTGCTTTCTTCTATATATTTTAAGTGTTTCATTGATATTCTTTTTCTTTTCTTTTTTTGCGTCTCTATCCCTTCCCCTCCCCTCCCTGCACACATAAAAGCTCTCCCTTTCAACAAATAATTAGTCAAGCCAAAAAAATGCATGCAGTTGTCCAGAGGTTTCTAAGACAGAGTGTGGAGGTGCAGCAGTGCTAATCATGATTGCAGAACTTGACAGGCTTAGAATTATAGGGGGAAAGGTTAACTAACATCAAAGGTCTCTTCAGAGCTCGTTAGTGTCTTTGCTCTGAAATCACCTTCCATTTATGTTACATAAATCTTGTATGTATATTTTTTGCATATATTCTCCTTCTTTAGGTTGTGAATTTCTTGAGGGCAAGGAGCTCACAATGTTTTTGCCTTTCTTTGTATCCTCAGAGCTTTTCATGGCATCTGGCACACAGTAAGTGCTTAATAAATGCTTATTGACTGACTGACTCACCTAAGTTTACCATAGGTCTGGGAAAGGTTTTTGCTGGGTAAGTGGCAGCTAGAGTTGGGTTGACTTATAAGGCACAAATGTATTGACTTATTGGCCACCTCTGTGTGGCGCCGTTTTTGTTGTCTGAGTTACTTTCTTGGTGCTGAAGAACCTTTCTCCTTTCTTGAGTCCATGAGCGTTTTTCACATGGGCTCTGGACCCTTAGGAAGGGGAATTGGTTTCCCAGCATCATGTCAAGAAGGTCCAAAGGATCAGAAATCTGAAAATCTATTTCTGCCATCATTATGTGAATGGAGAGAGTCAGACTCTTTCACCTCTTGGTCCCTTTTCCCTTGCTCTCTTTCAGTCTTTTACAATCTCTTGCCATTTCCTCCTTCCTTCTTCCCTACCTTTTTTTTTCCTAATGGGATGATGAGTCACTTGGAGTCACTGCAGAATGAAGATGTCTTAGAGAAATATTGCCAGAAACCTAGTCAAGACAAGGAACCCCAAGATCAGCCCAGAGGGATTTCCAGCTCAGCATAGTTTGCCTGGCTTTTGAACAAGGCCTTGAGCAGATCACTGGTCCATTTTTTTTGGATCTTTGAGCAAAATCAGTTTTAATTTTTGGAAAACTGAAATAAACAGACTCATGCCCTTCTAGGCCAGTAGGTTTTTCTGTTTGTACCCCATTTGGTGCTAAGGATTCATTCTAATTCTCTGGTCTCTCTAAACACCTGTAACTCATTTCCTGCTTTTGTAGCTGAGGGAGGGAGGTGCAGGCCCCGGAACTAGCAAACTGAGCCTTTGATGGTATCTTAAGTCAAAAACACCCACATAAACTCCAAGAATTGGGTTGCAGTGAGCCTCGCCTGTGGGAAAGAGGGGGCTGCAAGATCATTTTCCTTTTACATCTCATACCATCTTTGTATTGGGTCTGTTTTGAACACTTTTAGCCTTATCCTCAGTCAGTTATTTGACTACAATATCCCAGGAGAGTTGAATTTGTCAAAAGAACTTGAGCAGAACAGGGCCCAGAAACAGAGTAATAATGTTTGGACAAATTTTTCAAAAGAGCTCTCTTGGGATTCTCTTCTGATTCAATGCTAAAGCAAGGTCAACAACCTTTAAATCCTTGGTGTGTGGAGTTCATTTCCTTGTTCATCAAGTATAGTACAGATTTTCCTTGATTTTTCTATTTCTCTAGGTTTATCTTTGTAAGAAAAATCTGTAAGCATTCATTAAGCACCCACTATGTGTCCATCACTTTGCCAAATGAGGAGGATACAAAGACAGAAGCCTTCGCTGTGCTCACGGAGTATGTCATGTTCTATTGGAGAGACAATATCAATACACAGGAGTATATACAGGATACATATGAAAGGAATATTATTTATAAAAATGACTTTGCTCTGTATGAATGCGATTTTTTTTCCCATGAACTTTCCCAAAATGTTTGAGGCAGTGCTTAACCACAAAATACTGTGGCTCCTTTGTGAGGCATAGATAACTATTTTTTCCTTGCCACAAAGATGTATAGTCAAGCACAAGAAATTCCTGCATTGACCATGTCCAAAAAAATGTCTCACAGATAACTTTTTTTGAAAATAAATTTACTTTTTCATTATTATGAACTTAACAAGCATGAACATTTTATATACAAAGAGGATTGTATATGAATCTATGAATCTTTATTCTATGTAGTTTGTTTTAAATTATATATTAAATCCAAGCTAGTCATTCCAACGCTATCCTTCTGGTCTGTGTGCCCTTCTGAACTTCCTTCTGCTCTCTTTTGTGTATTTTTTTTAACATCTTATTGATTTGACCTTATTTCGCCCTTTCTTGCCATTACTCCTCTCACCCATCCCCGCCCAAAGCCCTTCCTTGTAACAAATAAGAATAGTCAAATAAAGCAAATCCAAACATTGGCCGTGTCTGAAAATGGATGTCTTTTGTGGACCTCCAGGCCATCACCTCTCTGCTGCTGCAGATAACTGTAGGGGCCCTGTGGCACTCTTCAGGACTAGCTCTGCTGCCTGGAAAGAGGGGGAGGGGCAAGAGCTGATCTGGTTTGAGAAATTAGTGAATTAGTTGGATGAGCTATTGGTCATAGGCAGAGCTGCTGGGAGACGTAGGTGTTAACGAATGAATGAATGACAATGAAAAAACAGTTAAGTGTTACTCTGCCAAGTCCTGTGCTAAGTGCTAGGGGATAAGAATAGAAAAAAAGCTAGATGGTCACTGGTGTCGAGGATCTCACATTCTAATGGGAGAGGATGATGGGAAGGTCCAGTGAGCCTTACAGTGCAGTGGCAAAGCCAAAGGTTAATGCATCTGCTTTCTTGTCATTTCCATTGGTACAACCATGTGACATTCACTTTGGTCTGAGGATCTTGTATTCAACTCAAGGGAACTTTAAAGTAGCTAGTCCAAAGAATGGGGATCATTTCTTCTCCAGCCCTCTCTGGAGCAGGGATTCTTTACCTTTTGGGGGGTCATGGACCTGTTTGGGCAGTCTGGTGAAGCCTAATGGACCATTTCTCAGAATCATGTTTTTAAACACCTAAGATAAAATATATGGAATTACAAAGAAAGCCAATTATGTTGCAATACAGGCATCAAAATATTTTTTGAAACAAACTCACAGACCCCAAGTTAAGAACCTCTGTTCTAGAGATATTTTTCACCAACTGCAGATATCAATGAAAAAGAAAAGGTAAATGCAGTGTGAGAAGAGAATTTGTATATTAGAAGCAGCTAAAGATGAGCAGATGTGATTGCATATCTTCCCCCATGAATGATTTAAAGGGATTTCTTGAGAATGAAGCTTTGAGAGCCCCCCCCCATAAATCACTCCATGTGTACATTCTTCATTCTAGTCTGATGGTGCCAGGACTTGGCATTTCTTGGTCAGTATAGTGTGTTGATGCCAGATATCTCAGTCCCAGCCCTTAGAGAAATGCCCTGTGACTTGTTCATCTTAATCGTTACCTAGGAAACGGAAAGATGATGAGAAGAAGCTCCGAGAGAAGAAAAGGAAAACCAAGATCAAAAGAAAAGAACAGAAGCAGAAACCAAAGGAGGAGAAGCGCCCGAAAAAGAAAGCTAAAGCTGAGGTACCTAGTTCTGGCTCCCATGATGAGTGGGAGGTAGGAGAGTACCTGCTGGTACTGAGTCGTGTAGAGGCCCTTTGACCACTAAGGGTGCTGCTGAGTAGAATTATTGTAAGGCCATTTCACAATCCCTCTTTAGATTTGGCAACCAGCCCTTATGCTGAAAGGGACACCAGTTTTTACTGCAACTGGGTGGTCCCTTCCAAATAGGATTCATCTGAAGGCTGTGCTGAATTCAGGGGAGCCTTTAAGCTGCTACCAACAACTCAATTCATGTAAATGGTAACTGGAATATAGGGTGAGAATCTGCATTCATTTTAAATGGGAAATGGTTTTCCCTTCCAGTATTCTCTGGGGTCTCCCATCAAGAAGAGTTTCTTTAGGGTTTCCACTCACCTGCTCCTAGTAGTAGAGGAGAGAAATTATACCTTAGAGTCTTCCTAGTGTGTGGAGAGTTGAGATATGGAGCCTTTGCTTCTGTTTACCAAACTGACCTTTTGCCTGCTCTGTAGCTGTTTGTTTTACAAAGTTCCATTTACCTTTTTTTCTTTCTAGCAATGGACTTTGACATGGCAGAGTAGGTGGCAGTGTTCATAGGGGGCTCTGACTTGGAGCCAGGAAGTCCTAAGTTTGTATCCTGCCTCACACACTTACTAGCTGTGTGACACTAGGCAAAGTCATTTCACCTCTGTCTGCCTGTTTCCTTATCTGTAAATGGAGGTAGTAATAGCACCCACTTCCCAGGGCTGTCATGAGGATTAAATGCGATATCATATGTAAGGTGCTTTGCACACCTCAATAAGCCATATAAATTCTAGCTGTTATTAGTAATAATTAGGTATAATTAATCATTATTATATTATTAAGTAAGCACAATCAGGATTTTACAGAGAAGGAAACTGAGAGCCAGAGGAGGGAGGGACCTACCCAAAAGCAGGTGATGCTACCACCACTGTTATTTAGTGCTACTGCCACTATCTAGAACCCAGAGATTTACAGGGTACTTGGCCCATAGCCTGACCATGGCAGGTAGTGCAGTAGTTATTATCCTCATTGTACAGATGAGGAAACTGAGGCCGGGATAGATGAAGTGACTCGTCCTGGGTTCCACATCTATTTAGTGGAAGGTTCAGGATTTGAACCAAGGTCTCCCAGCTCCAATTGCACTGTTTTTTTCATTGCACCAAAACATCTCTTAAGAATTCCATTTATATTTGAAGTCTGGAGCCTTCTGACCAAAGGTGGAGGGCAGGGTGCAGATAGGGACAAAGTCAAAACAGTATTAAAAAGCATCTAAGAGGTTTAAAAAAGTTTTATTGATGTCTTTTTGTTTTCATGCCAGTTGTTTCCTGATATCCACCCCCCTTGAGTCCTCCCTTGTTTAAAATAAAGAAAGAAAGACAATTAATAGTCACATTTGACAGTATATGTAACATGCCACACCAGTGATTCCTCAGCTCTCTACAGAGATGGGGAAAGCGTAAGTAACATCTGTTATCTAAGACCAAGATTGGTCTTTGCTGCAATTAATCTGAATTTGGCCAACTTTTAGCCTTATTGACATTGTTGTGGTTATTGTGTACATGATTCCCCTAGTTCAGCTTTCTGCATCACACCATATAAGCCTCCCCATGTTACTTGGAATTCCGCATACTTGTTATTTCTCCCAATGCAATAACCTTTTATTATATTAACATACACAGTTTGTTCAGCCGTTCCCCAATTGATGGACTCGGAGTCCAAGACGTTTATATTTTCTAACAAATAAAGTTCAGATGACCTTTGATTTCATCTTTATTTATGACAGCCGAGGGGAACTTCTCTTTTAGGTGCTGTCTAGCTCTTTAATCTTGTAGTGCTTAGGTCTTGTTAACACTATAGCTCAGATAAAGAATGGGTCGATCTCTGATGTGTTAGGTGTCACTGGGAGCAAAGGACAAGTTCACTGGCAGTTGAGAGACTGTTAATAGGCCCTCCTTCCTGCCCCCCCCTCCACCCCCCTTACATACTGAGAAGCCAGCTGATGGCCACTTCCCATTTTTTTGTCTCCTCCGTGAGCTGCGATGGGACGGAAGGGGACAGTGATGTGTCAGTCTGGTCATGCCTTGCAGTTTTTAAGTTCTACAAGGTCTCAAGTCTAGAGCCCTGTGAACAAAACTTGACCGGCACACAGAGAAAGCAGCGCAGAACAGAACAAAGTTCTTTTGTCTCCTACCTCTCTAATGTAATCTTATTAATCATTTGGCTTGCTCTTATGGTATTAGGGGTAGCTCAGTGAAAAGAAATTAGGATTTTATTTGAGATCTTTTGAACTGTGTTTTCATCTGAGGTTTCTTTTTGTTTTTTTTAAACATTTTCATTTGAAGGAATGTGGAAAAGTTAACAACCAGGAAGTAGAGAACCCGAAACCCGAAGAAGCTTGTGTTCTAGAATGTGAGGTGAAGACATTGAAGAAGGAAGAGCCAAACCCTCCAAATCTTCTGTGCCAAGAAGCAAAGAAGAAAATATCCAAGAAGAAGTCTATCAAGTGTGAAAGAACTCTAATCCCCCAAACCAAGAAAAGGAATGACTTATCTGAATCTTCTTGCCATTTGGAGAAAGCCCTTCCAGATGACCTAACTGAAGGAGAAGGCACTGACAAATTAGTACCTGACACATGCAAGCACAGTTTTATCCCTCACTTGAACCCCTTACAGATTACAATTAAGCAGGACTTGAGCCAGGCAGTCCAGTCTGTTGAAGAAGAAGAAGACGAAGAAGATGATGATGATGATGATGAAGAAGAAGACTGGCATTTATGGAATAAATCCTCTAATCCCAGGCTCCGTAAAGAAGGCTATGGCAGAAAACAGAAAATCTATGAAACTGATGAATTTATTCACTACCTGTTAAATTACTATCACCCTCCACAATATGCTCGTGTTTATGAAGACACAAGGGGTGTCATGAGCAAATCTCAGTGGCGGAGGGAGGTCCATGACATCGGAAATAGGTTTCAGATCAACTTGAACCAATCAGACCATCACATCTCGCAAAATGGGCAAAAGATCGGTTGGGCCCTGAAGGATGATCAGCAGAGGAAGCTTGCCCGTGAAGAGTTGGAACCCAGACCAAGAGAGGCTATGAACACAAGCCGTGCTGAAGAGTTTGCAAAGACAGTTAAACGCCATTACACCGACCCAAGCAATGAAGCTGCTGATCTTGTGTCTAATGTGGGTGGAAAGCAGTGCCCTTGGCAGAAAGACCCCAAGCATAGGAATAAGAGAAAGAGTTCTTCCCAATCCAAGTTTGCTGGCTTCTCTTATGAGGTAACAGACTTCTTAGAAGAGATTAGTAGTGATTCTGATTGCTTTAATGAGACATTGAGTGAAGAGAGTGGGCAGCAAAGCTGTTCTCCAAATGCAGGCCGCTTGGTGAAGGTGACAGAAGGTTCAGATGACTACAATGAAATTGTTGCCTTTGATCAAGAAAAGAAATGTAGCCAGTGTGGCATGTGCCCAAAGTTAAAACCCATCAGCTTGACAAAGCCCCTTAGACCCAAGCTTAAGAAAACAGTTAAGAGGTCTAGGAGTGAATTAAAATGCCCAGGGCCCAAAGGTGAATGTGAAACCAATGGGGTTGAGAAAAACACCAGAAAAAAGAAGAGAAAGCCATTCGTAGAAGACAGCCTTGATAAAGACAACTGCCCTGCACCAGATCCCAGCAGCTTACGGTCCTTCAAAAAACCGGAGAAGAAACGGAGCAAAACAATGGAATCCAGAATGAAATGTAAAGCTTCTTGTGTGCCAATAGCATCTTCACAAAGTGTTGACGTCCCCCTGGTCCAGGGGCTTTCTGAGAATATGAGTGATCCTTGGAAGCTGAAATCTGATCAGGACATAGGAACCTCCAACAGATGTGTTAAATGGAAGGCTGGAACCCCGAATTCCAGTGATTGTCTAGCCAGCTGTGACAGTCCAGATCCTCTTGCCTCTGAAAATGGTTTCGAAAAGAGATCTTCAGTCTTCAAATTGAAGAGTTTTTGAAAGCCACTGAGCTCAGACACCCGATTTTTTCATAATGGTAAATGATCTGAGAAGAGAAAAACAAAAATACACAAAGCAAGACCTTAGGAATTCATCAACTAGATAGCAAGATGTTACTTAAAAGTTTTAGTTGTGGCCAATTTAACCCCTCATCTAGTATAGCTCATGTATTGTGATGACAGCAGGTATGTTAGTAAGGCTTGGGGAGATTTATAAAATGTGCTTGCAGATCACCACTAAGAGTGAGCAATCCAGTAGCTTAATTGAACCTTCAATAGAGTGTCCAGCAAAGTGAAAATATAACCTTCAGAGTAGGGAAGCGTCCTTAGCCACATTTTCTTTGCTCTTCCCTGGTTGTTACCCAAAACGACAGTTGGAAATAGTGGGTTTCTTTTTCTGTTTTCTCTCATTTGGTCAAAAGTGATATATGCTGCAGGAAGCATGATCTTTGCCTGTAGCAGGGGTTCTTAGCCTTTTTTTGTGTGTCTTGGACTCCTTCAACAGCAGTCCGGTGAAGCCCGTTTAAATTTTTTTTTTCGTAATTAAAAAGAAAAGCTAAATTTCAGTTAGAGATTAGTGAAAATATAGGTGTGATTTTTTTTCCCCTGTCCCAGTTCACAGACCTCCTAAAATCTATCCATGGACCCCGGGTTAAGAGCCTCTAGTCTATAGGTACTTTTTTTTTATTCTTTCGTAGAGCAGTCAAATGGAAAGGAAAAACAGCTAGAAGCTCACTTTGATTTCTTAGAGAAATGATTTTGAGCATTTTATGGACAGGTACCCAAAGAGAATCTAAGCACAGTCATTCTTTTTGGTACAACATATGGAAGAAGAATCTGACAATTCAGTTCATTTCCAATTCTACAGATCTTTCCTGGGTGACACCTGCTAAGTGTTCAGAGCCATCTAGAACACAGAAGTAGACTGGGGTACATCAGACCCAAGGGTTAGAGAGGGTTCATAGGGAGGAAGGCTAAGGACTCGGCAGCAACATGACTGGAATGTCTGCTGCTTGTGCAGTGAGTTAATGGAAAAGGCAGGCAACAAAATTCCATTGAAATTGGCAGTGGGAAGCTTGGTAAGAAAGTTAGCAACTGGATCTTAGATGACCGAAATCTGCTGGGGACCCCAGAGAGCCATTCTGGGGCCTGAGGGCAGTTCTAATGCTGTTTTGAGGTATTGAGGGGTAGATTCAGAGAAGTGAGAGAGTAAGAGGAGAGAAATACTTTTTCACTTTGTATAATTGTTTTGCTCTGAGTTGAGAGTGAAATCCATTTGTAAAAATCATTCAGCATCCCAAACTTTGCTTTTTAAAGGGGTCATGGAAAGACATGACCAGGTCTGAGCCCTTGGTGAGTTTTCTAGACAGGAAAAGGTTATGGAGTATTTACACGTTACAATTTCTTGGATTTACAGGTTCAAAATGGGAACATTTTTTATTGTATTACATGTTTGGTGCTGCTTAAAGCTGAGCCCTTCCCCGGGCTCATATAGTCATGACTTTGAGAATTTTGCAGCATACAATATATTGAAGGCTGGACTTGGGTGCTCCAAGGACAGGAGGTGAAAATAATTCCAACAAAGCCATAGTTGGCTTAAACGATTGAAGATGAATGGACTAGATCAGAGACTCCTTGAAGCATAAATGCTGTTCAAAGCTCCGAAGTCATAGCAAGCCAGGTTTTGTATAAGCTGGCTTACTTGAAACAGGCCTGATTTAAAACTGATGAGTTTCTATCAGAGCACGTTACCTGAATTTACCACCTTCTACATTCTGTCTTGTATCATAATTATTTCTCCAGCCAGCGAGCTCATGTATATATATATGCTCCCATCCCATCCACCCAGTAAGATTTATATGTGCTTCTAACCCCCCCTCCCCAGCCAATTAGATTGTGTTCATGTGTATAACCTTCCCCCTCCCCGCCTAAGCTAGTTATGTTGTAAGCTCCCTGAGAGCAGGGTCTGACTCATTTCAGTAGCCCCAAAAACTGTATGAAGCCCCATACATGGCAGGCGCTTAAGAAATATCTGCTAAATTGGATGAATTGAAGCATATTAGGACCATGTCCCCTCTCCTCCCGGGGCCCCCCACTCCGCAGTAGCCTGGAATGTGTTTTCACAAAGATTTGACTGACTCGTGGGCCAGGCCTTCTCTGATCTGTGGGGAGATGGGTGGGAAAAATGAAGATGAGTCCTCTTCTTTTGAGCGGCCTGTTTTTCTGAAGTCTGGTACCTCATCCTGGATGAAATCCTTCAAAACTACCAAATACCCCAACTTTTCTGCATTAAGAACCACGTGGTGATGGTTTTCAATATTTAAGTATATAGCTGTGTGACAAAACAAGGATTCAGCTGAGAATGTGTTGTCATGTACCGTATGCGCTTATAATGTTAACTTGAATAAAATTGTGACAAGAAAAATGTGCCGCTTTTCATGTACAATTTGGCTTTTCATTGAATGACTCAGCAAACTGGGTGTGGTCTGTTGTCTAATTTTCCAATCCCTCCTGTGTATCGAGTGCCTTTTCTCCATGTTCTCCGAGGCTCAGGAATGACTGCTAACATTCAGATGGAGTTACTATTTTTCATAATACCTTGGAAAGTTCATACAGCTTGTCTTTTATCAAGGGACTTTGTGTGAATAAGTGTCGAAAACCTACCCTCTTTGGCTTCTAGGTTCTGCTTTTATTTGCAGTCTTTTGTACAGTTGCACTGAAGAGATTGTAACAGCTACATTTATTGTGATAATCTATTGTTTCTTTGGTCATCCGGTTCAGAATATTTTTCTATGTAAAGTTTATGGGTATAAAACGTTTGCTACTGAATGCTTCTGAAATGAAACTTTAATTGCATAGCAATCAAACAACAAACATTTTTCAAGCTCGGGCTGTGTGCTTCAGAGCGCTGGGGTTAGATATACAGACAGAAATGAAGAGCTGGCATTCTTTCTGAATGTAGCATATGTATAAAAGGCATTTAGTCTAGGTGTAGCACAACAAAGGTTAAGATAAGATAAGAGTGCTGGACCTGAAATCAGGAAAGCTTGGGTGGTTCAAATATGGCCTCTGCCCCTTACTAGCTGGGTGACCAAAGGCTGGTCACTTAAGTTAACTCTTGAACCCCCAGTTTGGTGACTTTCTCTGACTTCTCTCCTAAGTTACAGAGAAGAGGTGAACTGTTTTGTTGGAGGGCATTCCAGTGAAACTCCACCCATGACATCCTTGGCTTTTTGCCTGGTGATTTAGTGTCATAGAATTGGTGCTAAGGTATTCATTTGTAGCATTTCCCCTGTTGTTCACTAAGCACTCTTCTGGGGTCCAGACAGAAGTAAAAATACTGGCTTTGCGTTTGTATGTATTCTTCATTCTGCACCTCCCTCTTCCCTCTATCTTATGTTTGAGGGCAACTATTTAGAACGCACAGAGAGAACCCCCCCCCCCAAAAGGCTCACTTGATATTCTGTACTTTAGAAATCTAATGGCCTCACAAAAGTGAGACAGGAAACTGAAGAAAACTGTCGAGTTGGTTTTCCTGATAACTTTTCATCTGCCTTGGTGGTGGGTTAGGAAATCCTCTATGTAGTGTTAATAATTTGCCCATAATAATTTGCTGCTTGCACTGTTGAATTACCGCCATGTTAACTTTCCATTTGACCTCTTAAATATGGAACTGTCATGATGGTGACCCTTTATATAAGATCCTGAAGGCCTTTAGAAAGCTAAGCACCATTGGGTCAGCATGTTTTAGTTCCCTTTGCACGTCTCAGATTTCTCAGGTAGGAGAAAAGTGACCTCTTGGTGCTGATGGAAAAACCGGAATGTATCTGTAGTACCTTTCTTATGGCGATTTCTAATAAATTGTTAACTTGACATCTTATAAAGGTCACATCTGTAATACGAATGAGTGAATGACATACCGGTTATCAGTCCAATGAATTGTCACTCAACAAGTGCTTTGTGCATAGTAAGTTCTTGAGTTTTTCCCCCATTCAGCAAGGAATTATTAAATATCCCCTTCCTTTGTGCTTAGGCACCCTAACCTTTAGATCTGTCACTTCATCCTTTCAGCCCTCTGTGGAGGTGCTCCACAACTCTGCAGTAGCCAAGGAACTGGATGGGGGAGGGGAGGAAGGAGCAAATTTGCATAACTACAAATGGCCTGGTTGGCTCAGGAAGTGTACCTACCTGTCTTAGGCCTTGCATAATCTTGGCTAAAGCAAATTCATTCACATGTGCTCCTCAACCTGAGCTCTATGTCTCTATTTCAAAGACCTTACAGCCATGGTGCTGTTGGAAAAAAAAAGAGTGCTGATCATCCAATCAGAGATTTTGAGCTTGGAAGAAACCTTAGAGGTCATTGAGTCCAACCTCCTCATTTTATCAGTGAGGAAACTGAGGCCCAGAGAGAAAAAACTGACCTGCCCAGAGTCACACAGCTAGTAAAATCCCTCTGAGAAGGGATTTGAACCCAAGTTTATCCTGACTTCAAGTCCAGCACCCCCTCCATTCCATTGTACGTACCTTCCCCCCAACTGAGCCGGTGAAAGGCTAACTTCTGGGTGACGTGGTTACAAAACATTTTCACATGTGTTCCCGTTTGTTCCCTGCAAAGTAGTAGGACTGCATTAAATCCTCTCTTAAAGAATCCTAACTTTGGGAACCTGTAAGGGACATTAACCCAACTGTTCAAATATTTTTGGGCTTAATATGGGAATTTGTTTTGCTTGACTATGCGTATTTGTTACCAGAGCTTTGTCATTCTTTTGGTTGGGGTGGGATGGGAGGGAGAGAAAACTGCTTGTTAATTGAAAAACAAAATAAAATGTAATTTAAAAAACATATTAGCAGGTTTGCATTTTCCCACTTTTAAACCAAAGGCGGTTCTCAAACTTTTTTTCATGGTAATTTACTTTGGATGATAGGATTTTGAGCTGGAAGGGACCTTGAGTCTGAGGGTCATAGATTTCCAGATGGGAGGGACCTCCAAGGTCATCTTCTCCCAGCCCCATCATTTGATAGATGAGGAACGTGAGGCTCAGAAAAGCAAAGGGACCCAGCCAAGGTTGAATTTAGACAATCATAGATTTGGAGCTGGAAAGGATTTCAGAATGAGGAAATAGGCCTTGGGAGAAGAAATTGCTCAGACTAAGTTCACACAGTTAATGCCAGCACTGACTGGCTTTGTACTCTGGTCATTGCCTGACTCCTGCCACATTTTTGCTCCATTATAGAAATTGTTAGCGTTTTTCTTAGTGTCCTGTTTTTTGTTTTTTAAAGAATGTAACCAAAAATACTGGAAAAACTCATAGCTAAAGTCCATTCACAATATAAGGTAGAAAAAATACGCCTCTGAATCACTGGGTAAAGTCAGGGTGGGGGAAAAGAGTAAAAAGTTCACTTGATCTCCCACTGACACGTGGTGATTGAATGTATTCTCACATTTTAAGGCTGTTTACATAATGGGCTTTAAGAATTTGTTGGTTCTGAGAATTTTTAAATCCATTTTTTCTAGCTTAAAAGGAATACCTAGTTACAGAAAATTAATGAAACAAGTCGATTTCTAAAGGCCTGGAATCTGGCTACTTGGGGATAAAGTTTTTAAAAACAAGATGATTTTTTTCCCTTCCAACTGCCAGTTCTGTTTAGGTATAAAAGAAGCAAGCTGATCTCTTCTCATATAAGACACTGTGTCACAAATAGTGGGAGGTTATTTGGAGAATCCTTACTTTCCACCGGGGGAGGGAGGGGAGCTCTTCAATCACTGATTTTAACCTAAGGGGCTTTCCCCCTAGAATCAGAAATTCACTTGGGGAAAGGCATCACCAGATCTGAGAGAAAGCTGACTTGAAGTGAGGGGGAAGATGCCCATCAAAGGTGATTGAAGTCTGAGAATCAAGTTCCATGCTGTGTTCTGTATTGCTAAAAACATTCCAATTCCAACGTTACCATGGCCAAACATCAATAACTGGGGGTAATAGGTTGTTTGTGTTTACATGACTCCTTATGCAAGTGCATCTTCCTATCAAATTGTAAATAAGATTTAAGGATTCCAACATTATTTGCTGGCCTGTTGATAATGTATTTCATTCAATATAGGCAAGGGCAGGAGGAGGGAAGGGGAGCTGGGCTGCTTGTATTGTCGAAGTTGGAGTTTCACCTTTGACATTTTATAAAGATCAGACTTAGGGGAAGTAGGATCAAAGACACTAATAGCTTTGCATAGCCCCCCTCTACGTTGGTTTCTTGCAGTGACTCAAATGGACATTTGGTCCATAGTATAAATGAGTTAACAAATATAAAATTAGTTAACTTGTAAAAAAGCATTTTGCAAACCTTAACGTGTTATGTAAATACTAGCTAGCTCTTGTTAGAAAGCTTTAATAAGGGGTAACTTATCTTACATTGATGAATAAAAGATCTTGTATCCAAAATGACATTCTGACTAGCAAACCAATAGGAAATCTTTGTACTGGTTCCTTTAAATCAGGGGCTCTTAACTGAGACCCAGGAGGTCCCTGAACCTGGCTGTGAAACAAAAGCATCCCGTTTCAATTTCCGCTCTGAGGTCTCTAACTGCAGTTGCCCTCTTGCTTGCGTTCTTTGCAAACCTTGTTCTGAGGAGGGGTCCTTGGGCCTGGCCAGACTGCGTCCCAGGCATCCCTGGCGCAGCAAGAGTTAAGGATCCGTGGCCGAGTCTGCCAGCACAGGTCCCTGCAGCTGAGGTCTAGAAGGCTTGATGTCATCCTCAGCAAATCAGAGCCTCAGCATCCTCAGCAGCCTCAGCATCATCAGCAGCATCAGCAACAGAGCCCACTGGCAGCGCCAGCTTCTTCGGGAGGCGGCATGGTCTAGTGGTAAGAGAGTTGGCTCTAGAGCCAGTAGAACCCAGGGTTCTAATCCCGCTCTTCCACTGCCTGCCGTGTGGCCTTGAGCAAGCTGCTTGACCTCTCGGGTGCTCTTTTTTTTCCCCTCCTGGACAAAACACCCCCACCTGACCCCCTCCCACCTCCCCAGAGTCCATCACCTTTGTCAAATAAAGGAATTCTCCTTTTCCTGATGGGCTCTGCCTTTGAGCCCATCGGAGGTGACTCTTTTTGTGATCACTGGGCAAATGGTTTAATTCGGGGGTCCTCAGCTTCCTCATCACTAAAAGGGGGGACTGGCCTCAGCAGGCCCTGAGGTCCCTTCCAGCTCTAAGAATGTGGATGTGACCTTGGGCAAGTGTCTCCCCCTCTCTGAGCTCACTTCTTCCTCTGCAAATGGGAAGGTTGGGCTAGGGCAGGGGCTCTTAACTTGGGGTCCACTGGTAGGGGGCCTGTGGAGAGATGTCAAGGGGTCTGTAGACCCTGATGGAGAATATTCTTTATTTTCACTAACCCTGAACTGAGGCTTAACATCCTCCAGTTCTGTATTACTTTTGCAGACAGACTGCCTGAGGGGTCCCTGCCCCCAAAAGGTTAAGAGCCCTTGGCCTAGATGGCCTCTGAGCTCCCTTCCAGCTCTGGGTGACCTTGGGCAGCTCACTACCTCCCTGGCCTCTGTTTCCTCCTCAGTAAAAAGAAGGATTGAACTTAGTGGCCTCAGAGGGCCCTTGTAGCCCTAGGAGCTTTTGTGTGACCTTGGGCAGTAAGTTCTCCTGTGCCTCAGTTTCCTCTTCTGTAAAATGAGGGGGGTTGAACCAGATTAGGGATTCTTAACCACAGATGATTTCATGGGGTCTTTGAACTTGGGGAGGAAATGTCTTGTCTTCATTTTCTAACCTCTAACTGAAATTGAGCATCTCTGATTATTTACAAGTGTTATTTGGGAAAGGGCCCATAGGCTTCCCCGGACAGACTGCTAAAGGTATCCGGCGCACCGTTAGCTTTAAATTTAAAGAAAAAAAAAGGCACCAAAAGCCAGGTGAAGAGCTGTAGTACCACATCAAACCATTTTATTAATTAGATGACAAAAGCACTTCATTCTTCTTCTGATTTGAGGTAAAACCATTACAAATTGTTGACAAAATAAAATGGCTTTAAGAAAAACCCAACTTGGTTAATCAATCGTTTGAAGCTGCTCATGCAATGCTTTGACAAGTGCCCCTTCCCAAAACTGTCCTCAGGTGTGTGTGGTTTGCTTTTGGTCCAGACCTGTGAGTTCATGGGTATCGGGAACTCCCCAAGAGCAAATTCCCTCCACCATGGCAGGCTGGCTTGCCTGTCAGTAAGGTGTTGTGTTCACCAAAAGGCCTCTCCTTCCCAGTGCTTTCTTTTTTCCTCACACCTGGTTCTAGGCATTTTTCTCATTTTTTTTTCCCCAGTGGCTGTACTTTTTCTGTGATAAAAGAACTATGACTACCTTAGAAAGAGTATATTTTAAAATCATGGTTAGTAGTATGTGCTCTTACTCACGGGTAATGAATAGAAAGGCATGTCTCTACTACCTGCAGAGGAAAGAACAGGTGGTTGGGGAAAGACTGGGGGGGGGGGGGGGGGCTGGAGTCCCAGCTCTGCCTCACTCACTGGGGAGACCTTGGGTAAGATAATTTTACGTTTCTGGGACTCAGTATGACAGCATGAAGCAAACTCCCAATATCCAGTCTAAGGGTACCCTTGACCAAAAGGCACTGTGAAAGAAATGGTATGATTTTTCCCCATAAACATCAAATTCATTCACTCTGCAGATACTATAAGAAAGTGTTAAGTTGCTGGTCAGACAGAATGGTTTCTAAAATGACAGTTGCTATGACAATCCAATCCTTATGTTTCTGACACCTAAGAGGGATAGTAGTTTATGAATATAGGTAATAAACTAAAGAGAAAAAGGTTAATGCACGGAGGGAGGTCTCCATTGGACACCGAGGCACTAGCATGGTTCTGATGAGATGCACACCAGTCCCTAGAAGATGACAGCATTTTAGGACAATTCACCACCCTGGGCAGATATTGTGAAACTCTTAACTCTACAAACTATCCAGCATTCTGTGGAGAGGGGTAGGGGAGACTCCAGGAGCATATGCTGGGATACTTGGGCTTACTTTCTGCTTTTAGAATTGTGGTATTGTGTTTAGAAAAGGACTCATTGAGTAAAAACATCAAAAAACGGGATCTGTGATTTCTTTGGTGCAGAGAACTTCCTGGATAAGGAAACCCCCTTCATCAATGCAGATCTGCACCTTCTCTATAATTTGTAGCCCTAGAGTTGCCTGAGGCATTGAGAGGGTGAGTGACTAATCCAGGGTTACACAGCTACCACGTGCTGGGCACATACTCTTATTATGTGAAAACAGAAACCATTTATTTTCAAAGACTCATGGGATTTTTAGGTGCTCAGGGTCTGTGTACTATCCCTCTAATTGCCTTCAGTTCAACATTCAGTGGAGCTCCAAACTAAAGCTTTTCTTTACCGCTACATGAAAGAAAACATAATCTGGATTTTGTTTTAAAGCTCCCTATCCGCCCCTCCCTTGCATTCTCCTCATCAATTTTCTTAACCTCTGTGGATTCAGGGATTGGGCTCAATGATTTTTCTTCCTGAGACTAGTGAAGTGAGTGCTTTGGAGACAGAATGAATAGTCAAAATCTGAAAATGAGTTTTCTGAGTGACCATGCCTAATTATGTAATGAGTGACCAATATGTAAATGGTGTGACCAATAATGAGGGACCAATCTTAAAAATAATAAGTTTTTTTCTTAAACCACAGAGAAAGCAATTTTTCTTGCTCTGTTCAAAAGAGGAGGCAGTTCAGGTTTCGCCTTTCTATTTGGAGTACTCTTTTTTTTCCCCAGGCTGAGAAAGAAGTCGACTGAGAACATTGGCTGTGGCAATGGGGCTTAGGAAACCATTACTGTCATCTTGTTGGGTATTCATGAGTGGGAACTTTGTTAGCTGTTTGCCTTCGAGAGTCTGGAAAGCCACTAACAAGCTGTTTCAAAATGAACTTGTTACTAATGAAGGGACTTGTCCCATTCTCTTCTGCTAGTCACGTGAATGTTAAGATCTGTTCTTAAGAATTCTTTAAAATGGTCCAATAAAGGGAGAGGAACAGGAAGCTTAAGTAGTAATCCCTGCTCCCCACTAAGAGTTAATTAACAACATTTCACATGGATTCTCTTTCACTCTGAGGGACAAAGTGAAAGGGGAGCCAAGCTTTGAAGCTTCGTTTTGGTCCTAGACGGCCACCTCTGAGCAATATTAAAGCCTTTGTAACACTGCAGATTGGCTTTGGAGGTAGAGAAAACCGAAATCGTGCAGTCTGTCTAATTGGAAAATTGAATATTTGTTGTCCTCAAAATCATGCCTGAAAGGGGCTCTTACTGGTAGGTATATGAGAGTTGTTTCACACAGGATCCTTCTAATTGCTTTGGTATCAACCTCTCCTCAAGAGCAAATTCTCACCTGGCAATAAGAAGCTCTTTACTTCAGTCTATACTATGCTACGAATTTCAACAACAACAACAACAATAATAACAACAACAACTATACAACAGGATTACCATTTTCAGTAAGTGCTCTACTTTGGGGTTCTCTAGTTCATCATGCATTGTCTAAGACGGGGAGCTATAGTGATCAAGATAACTAGTGAATTCCATATGATTAAAAAACAATTAACAGCATGTCCAAAGCTTTTCTAAGGCTGGAGTTACGGCTGACTAGAGCGAGACAAGTGGATATTACAAATGGTACTGGGACATACAAAAATAGATCTCATCAACGTAGCCTTTAGTCATTCTTTCGCTCCCTGGCATCCTTGGGACCTTCATCATCCGAGTACACGGTGGGTTCCTCCCCTTCCTTCAGCAGCTTGCCCACGTAGTGATACTTGACTGTAACAAAGAAAATGCACACTGGTCCTTAGAAAAGGTACAAAAGGGATGTAGGAAAGGGGAAGGTGTGGGACAGGGAGGGGAATAAATAATCTTAAAAGAAGAGGTTAGAAAGGTAGGATGGAGTAGGAAGAAACACAAGGCAAGGGCAGAGAGTTTCAAGATGGAAGGACATTTGAGCAGCAGTTTGATATACTGAGCTGAGATTAAGGAAATTAACAGCCAAGAGAAGTTCATGAGGACCAGGGTATTGGTAATCTTTGAAACCAGCTTCATTAGGATGGCAGTGTCCACACCCAGGGTCAAGAGGAAATTAGATACTAAAAGGACAGACACAAATAAAATCGGCAAATGGAGGGGGCAGGTGTAAAAAAAAAAAGGTTTTTCAAGATAAGGGAGACCTATGTTGGATGGTGGAAAGGGGGGTGGTGGTATGTAGGAACAAGGTCTCTTGAACTGGGATCAAGCAGATATATTCATGTCAATGACCCCAAACCCTGGCCTCATCAACTCTCAAGATCATCTCCATTCTAGCTGTCTGCCCACAGGTGGTCCCAAATTGGTGACTATCACCAATGCTATCATTCCACCTCTGTTCCCTCTACCTTCCCCACTTCGTTTCCTAAACTCATATTGTCAGTTTCACCATCCCTCCCAGTCCATCAACCCTATTGTGGCTTTACTTCCACCACATTCACATTGAGGGGTGGGAGGGGGCAGCCTGGACTTGAATTAGTTCACCTACAAATTTCACTTCACTCACCCAAGCAACTGTTTCTGCTCTTGTTCACACCCTGCTAATCCTCAATCTTGCCTCATTCCTACCATCTACCTTCTTTGATCCTGCTTCATCTACTGGGTCCACTTCACTGGTTCATCTTTCTTTTTTTCCAATTCCCTAAATGTGTTTGTACCCCAAGGCATAGCATTAGGCCCCCTTCTTCCTCCACAGACTTGCCCTTGGGGAACTCCCCAGCTTCCAAAGATGCAAGTGCCACCTTTTTGTAGATGACTCTAAAATCCATTATGTTTGGATCTAATTACTCTCTCTTGAATTCCACTCCAGTATCACCAACTACTAACCAGACAATACTATTTGGAGGTCCCACCTGTTCAAAATGTGTATCTGTACTTCCCCACCCGCAGTCCTTTCTTCCCTATTTATATTGATGGCACCATCTTCCTTGTCACCCAGGATTGAAAACTTGGGAGATGTTTTTTGGCTATTTGCCAAATCCAATTGATTCCTACCTCCCAGTCTCTCAAATGGGTCCCATTCTTTGTTGGAGCATAGGATTCCAGATCTAGAATGGAAAAGCTCTTGGAGGCCTAGATTGAGTCAAAACCCCTCATTTTACAGAGGAGGAAACTGAGGCCCAGAGAGATTACATGGATTTGTCCAAGGTACTTTCAAAAGATTTAATGTAAGAATTAGACAAGGATTAACGACATTAATGTAAGTGGCCAAGAAGATTGCTTCTCTTTTGGAACAAAGGTGAGAAAGAGAAATGACCAACCTGTCTAACCAGGTAACCAGAGATGCTTTTGTGTGAAACAATTACCCTGAATGTTTGGAACACAGTGAAGGTTTCTAGGGTGCCTGGTACAGTAGGAAACAAATCAGAAGCAACATGCTGACCCAGGGAAATGAGGTCTGAAAAGGGTCAGACACATTGGCTTGAAGTATTATTGGAGGTCCACAATAATATTGGGAGATAGTCTTAGTTTGGGAAGGGGTGGAGGGAGGAATAATTTGACACAATCATGAAGGTAAAACAGCAACCCACTGATTTAACTTAGCAAAATAATTCTTTGTAGGCCACCATACTAAATAACTCACAAAAATGTTGTGCTGAGTTGGGTGGCTCAAACCAGTGGTCCCTACTTTACTAAAAGGCTTGTATCCAAAAGTCAATTCGGGGGAACCATAACAATAATACATAATGGTGGTGGGGTTCTTGGGTATACGTCTATGAAGGCCTACTGAACTTGCCATAAGCATTATGTATATGACTGGAGTAAGAGTTCTAGAAAAACTCCCTCCCCTGGGTAAAAATGTGTCTGTGGGAAACAAAGTTCCAGTCTGGTCAGGTGCATCTCTCTTCTCACCCCTGCAGAAAGAATTGGGAAACCAACCCCCAGGTCCAAGCTACTGGTGATGGCCCAGGAAGATAGGGAAGGCAGCAGGGCCCACTTCCTGTTGCTTCTAAGTCTCTTAGTCTTCTGCTGCCCAAAAGAACCATATGGACCCAGCATTTGGATAAACCCAAAGGTTTTGCTTAAGGAATTGTTAAAACTTTAAGGTGGAAACTTCTGGTCCCCAGTGGATTAAAAGCAAAGGTTATATAAATAGACAGTTTTTAAAAGAAGGAACCCAAATTGTTAACAAAAAGCTTAACTTCACTAAATCAGAGAGATGAATGAAACAACTTTGGGAGGACCATCTTATACCCATCAAATTTGCAAAAATAGTTAAAAGCAACGGAACTCAATGCTGCTGGGGTTGTGGAGAAATGGTACGCTCATTCATTCCTTGCTGCTGGATTGACCAGCTCATAGACTCTTTCTGCAAAGCAATCTGCAAGTATGTAGTAAAGCTTGCAAAAATAATCCTACCCCTTTTATTGGGAATGAGAGGGTTATCAAGAAGGAAGAAAGCTACCACTTCAAAGATCTCAATAGCAATGATTTGTGATTGCAAAAACAAAAAAACTAAGGGCAGTCTAAATATTCAGCAATAAGGGAATGGTTAAATAAATTGAGTTCATTTGTGTAATAGGCTTAGAGACCAAGAGCTTTGGGAATTACAGTGCCCTCCAGAACAGTGGTGGTGATCTGGCCCCCACAGCCACCATTGAGGGGGACAATCACTGTGGAGAAGGGGGCCCTTCATTACCACCCACTAACCCTTCTTTAGAGCAGATAAGCCCAAGAACCCTTAGAACAGTACCCCACACTCCCATAAGCCCTCCCTTCTGGCTTGGCCCCTCCTGCATTCAGGTTTATCATCCAGGGGAGCAACCCCAGTAGAGAAGTATCCTGTCAACTGCCACTGTTGTTACTGGAATCCACAGCTATTGAAGACCTGGAAAAGAAAGCTTACCACTGAAGTCTTTGGCACCATCAAATGGTTCAGCATCAGAGATGGATGTATTTTTATAAATGGAAATGACATTCAAGAAGATCCATTACCATTAGCTTTGTCTCTGCCCTAGAAGGACCACTGGGCCTTTCCATCTGCCCTGTGGCTGCTCCCTCTGCCTCTCTTTAGAATGTGAGATCCTTGAGAACAGGGACTGTCTCACTTTTCTATTCACATCCTTAGTGCTTTTCAATTACATTCATTCCGGGGCTGGCTGTCTATCCACTAGGCCCCAATGTTGCTGGTTGTCTTTATGTAATTTATTTTTATTTTAGAGTAAAGTTCAATTAGATTCATAGACTGCAGGTCTGCTATCTTTTAATAAAGGTACCCTGACTGCTTTAAATGTCAAGTTCTACAAGAGCAAGCCTGTGTACATATTAGCTACCATTTAGGTAGCATTTAAAAGGCTTGCAAAACCCTTTATATATGTTACCAGATTTGATCACATGCCTCCTCATCCCAGTGAAGACAGTTATTTGAAATCAGAGGAGATAGGTTCAAAGACAATCTGATTCCAACCTCTCTTGCCAGCCTCACTGGACATCATCCCCCCCCCTGCAGCCTGAAATCCTGGTCTTCTCTCTGTTCTTCACACATGACACTCCATCTCTTGCTTTTGTGTCTTTGCCTGGTATGCACTTCCTCCTCATTGCATGCAGCCTCACAGAATCCCTTTCTTCCTTTAAGACACAGCTCAGGCTTTTTCTTCTGCACGTAGCCTTGCCCAAACACCCTGCTAGTGCTCTCCCCCCAAACTACCTTGTATGTAACTGCTCTGTATATATTTGCATTTATTCACTTAATATATATTATATCTATTTTTATATGTTCTTGACTCATTAGAATACAAGGTCATTTAGAGTACGGATCATTTCATTCTTTGTCTCTGTATTAGCAGCATTAAGTACTGCAGCAGCCTGAAAGTTCCCCACCCCTGTTCTTTTAATGAATACTTGTTGATTGATTGACTCAAATCCCTTCCCTTCCCTGGGCCTCAGTTTCCTCCTCTGAAAAATGGCTGGCTTCTGAGACCCATTTCAGTTCTCCATCTGGGAGCCTATATGTGATATAGCAAGCACCAAGAGTTACATGGGGGATATTTCCCCCTCTACATTTAAGTGTGTGTGGTACAATTGTACTGAACATTCATATATACGCTAGAGAAAAAAAATCAGGATTCAATCACAGCAAATGAGTCATTATTGCTGCAATAGCCCCAGGACGTGAACTTTATTCCAGTTTAAAGGGCCTATCAGAATATGCTTAAATTTCAAGCTATTAGTGGAAACTGTGACTGGACTGCCTTGAATCCCCATTACTAATGGAAATTCGATACTACTACAATTAAAAAAAAAAAAAGCTTACAGGTGAACTGCGATTCCCAGTCTTTCAAGGTCTCCTGCTGAGTAGCATTGAGATCTGATAGGTCATCGTACTCATCTTTCAAAGCTTCCTTATCCAAGCAGAAAGTGGCCAGGCCCCGGGAAGCATCTCTTCCAGCAAAAACTCCATATGGTCCCTCTTTAAAAAAGAAAACAGAAAAAAAGGTGTATTCGTTAGCCAGGGATTGTCTTCATGGTTCAAATCATAAGAACAGTTTTGTCCCGGGTCAAATTGGTACAACAAGGTTCCCCTGAACTCTTTGGGAGGCCATTAGGTTGTTGGAAACACTCTGGTGTCCAAAAAAACCTAAATCGTTTAGTAACTACAATAGAATTACTGCAACACTGGTCATTTTCCTTCCAAAGGCCAGAGGATATTGAATCCCCACAGAGAGAGGAAATGACCTGTCCAAGGTCTGAAGGCTAGGATTAGGCTTCAAAACTGTGGGCTCCAGATTTTTTGTTTACTAAAGTGCTTAATGTTTAATAAGATGCCCACTCTTTGGACTAGAATCCACAAAGGGGAGGTGGGGAGGATTAAATAGAAACAAGAGTAAGGGAGCAGACAATAGGCCATCAAAATAGGCAAACTGGCCAGAGGCTTAGCTAGATGGGCACATTCGGTCTGTTTGGGTGGTATTTAAAGTCTTTAAAAACAAAGGTTACCAGGTTTTGTTTTTTTTTCCCTTCTTTAAACAAACTGAACCTCTCAAAGGGGAGGGAATAAGACTTTGGTCACTAAGCATTCAAATATAATACTGGCCACCAGTGAAAATCAGTTTTTAAAAAAGAACAAAATGCTTTATTTTCCGCACTCTTTTATATTTTAATTTTTTTATTCTGAACCTAACAACTGTCAAATACAATGTGAATTTCTATGACTTTTTTTGTGAAACTGCAAATCGTTATATAAAATTGGCTTTTTAACAAGTATATAACCACTTCAGAATGAACCTTCAAAGCTGTCTTGCTTGTCAAAAATTCCTTCTGTCCTCTTCTCTACATATATGCATATGTGTATAGAAATGTTTCCCTGACTCTCTTTTTTAAAAAAGAAAAGAAAAACAAAATCCTCCAGAGCAAATATGCATAGTTAAAAATTGGGGCCTAAATTAGGGGAAATGATTTGGCTAAGGTCACAGGGCTGATAAATGGTAGACTATGGGATTTGGGAGGCATCACTATGCAAAGAAAAGAGGGGGAGATTTGTTTCTGCCACTTTGGGCAGATAGGTCACTGCCTCTCTCGGCGCCTCAGTTTCCTCATCTGTAAATGATGTTTACATCCAAGTTGTCTTCCTGCTCTAACAATCTACAATCTCAGAGAAGGGAAACAGAGCCAAAAAAATCTGAGATTAAGGAGGGTTGAGGAGAGCAGAAGAATGGGATTTTCATGGTGTTTGGGTAGTTACTATATTTTTTGTCTTAGTTCTTGCTGAAAATCTTTGTTTATCCTGATTCTGGATTCAAAACCTGACTGCCACTTACCACCTATCTAAAATGAGGGTGTTGGACTGAATGACTGTGTTCCTCTCAAACAAAGTTTTCTGATTTCCAAATATAGTACCCTTTCAAATAACATCAAAAGTAAACTAAATTGACATATTAAAAAGCTTATTCTTTAAGTAATTTGTGATAATTCAGTGTGCTTGCTCTGAAAAAACAAAACAATATCAAATTTTTTGTTATGAAGGAAAGGATGCAGAAACACACACCCAAAACAAATATGTAAAAGAAATTCCCACACTGGCTGAAAATCACAGGTTTTGAAGTGTATAAACCTTTATGAAATAACTAGAAGTTTTTTTAATACACTTTAAAAAAAATCTTTGAAGATTTTTTTTATTCTGAACTTAATGGATACTAAATAAAACAAGCATTTCTAGTAAAATAGAAAAAAAGATTGCTCGTGGAACTGATAAGTTCTGTTATGTCGAGCTGGCTTTCAAAAAGTATATATTCAATTCAACATGTAACTTTCAAAGCTATCCTGTTTATCTGTGATTCCTTCTGAGCAGTTAAAAAATATTTCAATGCTCTTCTTTTTTTGGGAGGAAAGGAAGCAACTGTACCCCCAGCCCTAATGTCACTTCTACCATTCCCCCCCTTTCCCTATTCTATTTTTTTTTTAGTTTTTTTTTTCTTTTTAGGCAATTGAGGTTAAGTGACTTGCCCAGGGTCACACAGCTAGTAAGTGTCAAGTCAAGTGTTTGGTCTGAGGCCAGATTTCAACTCAGGTCCTCCTGACTTCAGGGCCAGTGCTCTATCCACTGCGCTACCTAGCTTCCCCCCCACCAACCTTTCCCTATTCTAAACTGGAAAAAAAAAAGAAAAAGAAAACCTTTGAACAAAGAGTGAAACAAAACAAATTCCTACACCTTCCAAAAATCACAATCTGAAATGAATAAACCTTTATAAAGAAACTAAAAATATTGTCATAAACTGTAATTTATATATGTATATATATAGAGAGTATATAGAGTGCACCCCTCCAAACTGGAAAACGAGACAAAAAACCTTTGTACTAAATATGCAGTCAATTCCCACATTGACCCAAAATCTCAGGTTTTGAAATGGAAAAACCTTTTAAAATAACTAGAAGTTTTGTAATAAACCTTGATTTTTTTAAAGTGAGACAAAGGTATCTTATCAATATACCCTGTTGCAAAACTCAATTAAACATTAACATGTGGCATCTGTTGGAGAAATCACTTTACAGAAGTTATCCATGGTCCCAAATCTGTCCAGTCCCTTAACTCTTTTCTGGAGGGAGGGTAGTGGGCTAACTCTTCTTTTAATCACTCCCAGGAAAAAAAAAAGTAACTTTTTTCCTTTTTTAAAAAAAATCCTGGTTGAGGTGTGTGTGTGTGTGTGTGGAAGCAGGGAAGGCCTTTCATGCCTATGAGACTATATTAACTTAGAATAGTCCCATAAATGGGGGCGTTCATATTTGCAAAATGAAGATATCCCAGGGCATGTGAAATAGGGCATGAGGGAATTGTTTCAACAGAGCCAGCCTTCAGAAATTGAGCAGGTAACTTTCATGGCAAGGGTGAACATGGGAGTTGTCTTTATTTCTTTTCTTTTCTTTTTTTTTTTTTTTTTAAATTTTCTTTTCAGGTCTGTATTCTCTCTCTCTCTCTCCCCTGATTGAGAAAGCAAGAAAAACAAAATCTGGTTAACTTTCAACAGAACCTACGAGAACATTTCTGATCAGGCTCATTTCAAGGCCAGGAGGAGGTGGATACAACGGGCATTCATTCTCCCAAAGAGGAAGGGGGTGGGTGGGTGGAGGAAGCTGAGCACCTGAACAGAATATGTTTGTACTTTCCTGGATCAGTGCAGGTGGTCGAAATGTTAGGATTCCAGATCCAACCAGCTTAGCATGGTCACACCCTCATCAAGTTGGACTCCACTGAATTCACAATTTGTGATCATTTGACCAAGTGCCAGGCCTGAATCTTACTTACCTGTTCTTAGCAACTTCTTTAAGAAAAATGATTGAGCTCTTTTTGTTTCGATGTTCCCTCATTTCCAAAGAGATTACCATTTGGGGGTAATTAAGAATAAAACAGGAAAAACCTGTGCCCACACCCCCACCCCTGACCTCTTCAAAGAAGAAAGGAAAGTGCATTTGGGCAACTCTCTTTCTGGGTCAAGCTTGGCCATTAGATTCAGCATTTAGGGGTATTTTCTTACTTTTTTAAAAAAATTCATCATTTATTTATTTTTTAGCTTTCCTTTTTCCTTAACAATTGCTTTAGACCAGTATAAATACAAAAAAAAAGAGGGAACTTGAAAACAGTCTGCAGGAAAAACAAGTTTGAAGCACCCTTTGAGGCTTCCAACTGCTCCATTTGCTTCACTCAAATAGGTAACGTGGCCATTATAAATCATTCTTACCTAGCCAGTAAATCAGATCTTTTTACAAGAACCACCTGTTAGAAGAACGCAGAAAGAAAGGAGGGACTTTGAGATCACAGGCCAGGGGTCATTAACCTTATTTGTGTCTTGGAACCCTCTTTGGCAATTTGGAAAAGGCCACCCCTGGCCTACCTTTTTCAGAATCATGGTTTTAAATGCATAAAGTGAAATACATTGGAAACCAATTAAATTGAAATGTAGCATCAAAATTAGAAAATTAAAAAAAAAAACCCAAAAACCCAGGTCTGTAGACCCTGGTTAAGAAACCCTGATCCAAGGAAATGAGGACCAGGCAGGACAAAGCAGCTTGGCCAAGGTCACATAATCAATGGCCTAGCCAGAGCCTTGAATCCAAGGTCTCCCTCCAGACTCTCAGCCCAGAGCTATTTCCCCTCCACCATGATGAATCTGGCATTGCCTCATCCAGGCAACATCCAGGGACTCTGTAGACTGTGGATAATTTGTGGTTGAGTTTACCTGCTTTGCCTCCCTGGGTTTGCTATCCTGTTATGCCTCAGTGATGATGCAAGGGCACCCCATCAATTATGTTTATTGGATGTGCCTCTAGGTGCACTTATGAATGTTATTTTAAATGCACCCCTATATTTTAAATTACACTTCTAATAGTAATGTCTCTTTTTGTGATACTGAAAAACTGCAAACTAAGAACAGGCCCATTGAATGGGGAATGGCTAAAGAAGTTGTGGTCTATAGATGTAATAGACTATTACTGCTGGGAAAGAAACCAGGAACATGAAGGGTACATATGAAGCTTGGGAAGACTTCTATGGGCTGATTAAGAGACAAGAAAGCAAAACCATGAAAGTAATACACACAATAGGAAAAAAAACATGTATGGAATGAAAAAAAAAAACCAAGGAGACTGAATGCTGTTAATTGTAATGACTGAGCTAGGAGCTAAAGAAAATATACCTCCCTCCTTTCACTGACTACAGGTGTGGAATATTACGTATGCTCTCAGCCCTGGTGGGATGCGTTGGTTGGGTTTGCCGAGTTCCTTTTTTCTGTTTCATTTAAAATCTTTGTTACAAGGGCTGGCTTTCTGGGGAGGGGAGGGATATATGTGGAAATGCAGGCTGTATTAAAAATAAAAGGTATCAATAAAAATCAGGTTGAAAAAATGAACTATGTCTATGGGAGACAATAAAAAGAAGGAACGTTCTACAAGGAAACATACATAAGCAGAATTCGGAGGATTGATTCTCAAGCAGTTCTGAACACCTGATTTTCAGGTAAGCTATAAGGTTTACCTAAGACGCCTGGGGGGAGGATTTGTGGTTCATTTCTCCTCCCCTCCCACCAACCACTCCTTAATGAACAAACAAAATTCCATCCTCTTGGGGTTCTCTTCAAAGCTCTTGCAATCAACACCGTATGCAAATCATTTTGTAAAATTCAAAGTGCCATCTTCTCCTAAATTGTTATCATTCCTAATTCTCCCACCCTGGGCCATGGCTCTGTGCCGTAGCCCCCCCCCCCCCTTCCAATTTTCTATTCTAATTATCAATCCTGCTCCCACCTGACCGTAATCCTTTAGCTGCCCACCCAACCACCAAATCTTATACTTCTCAATTCCCAATCCCCAGCGCATTTGGAGTCAATAGATTTGGAGCTGGAAGAGGCCTGAGAAGCCATCTTGGCTACCGTCTCGTTTTAGAGAGCAGCAAACTGAGGTTGGGAGGTGAGAGAAATTGCTCAGGATCACATGGCTAGAAGGCTGCAGAGGTGGAAATTTGAACCTAGGTCCTCCTCAGACTCCAGACCTGAGGCTCTGGCCACTGCACCATCTGGCTTCTCCTCTCCTATCTCACTTTCATGCTCACACCCATATTATTTCATATTTCTAATCCAACCTCTAACCTTTTTTCCCTCTCTCTCTCCCCCACACACCTACAACTGCCCTGCCCCAGGCATCTAGTATCGTGCTTGGCACATAAATGCTTGCTGATTGATCAATGGATCTCTCCCCAAAGGGTTCCACCAAACCTGTCCGTTCTCCCCTCTAACCCTCTTGCCCTGCTCTCCCACAGGGCCCTAAATCTTTCTCTGAGACTAGACATTCTTTCCAACCTTCCTCCAATGTCTGGATTTGGGCTCCCACTTCTTGGAGATTCCTGCAGTGTACCCCTCCTCCCGACTCCATTACCCCCTGACTGCCCGAATCCCCCATTTTACTCCTCCTCAGTCTCCCATGATGGCCCTCATGTCTCCATGATGATCGCTTCCCCATTTCTCCATGGCAATCCAGTTCTTTCATCTTCCTCAATGATCACCCTTCCCAGGCCGAAGCCCTCCATGATTGCCTCCCCATGACCACCCCGTATGCCCGCAAGATTCCCCTCCCCATCCATTATTGTCTCCCAGGTCTCATCTGTCAGCCGTTCAGTCCACGAGTCCCCAGCCCCCCCAACCGTCTCTTCCCCCCCCCCCCCCCCCCCCCCCCCCGCCCTGGCTGCATCCCCCCCCCCTCCCCCATGCAGATGAACCCGCACGCCCCCGCTAATCCCCGCAGGTAGTCCGCGCCCCCGCCCTACCTCCCGCAGGTCAGCCCGCGTGCCTCCCTCCACCCCCGCAGGTAGTCTGTGGGCCTCCGCCCCACCCCCCGCCCGTCAGTCCGCCAGCCCCCAGGCCTCCCGCCGCAGCCCCCGTACCCGGCCCGTAGAACTTCCTGCCCTTGGTCACGTCGAAGACCTTGCCGTTGATGGCCATCAGGATGCGCGGGTCCTGGGTGCCGTCGAAGCGGCGCAGCTGAGCCAGGGTGAAGTCTCGCCGCTTGAGGCGGGGCAGCGCGGGCGGCTCGTCGCCGTCCCCGGGGCCAGCGGTCGGGGGCTGCTCACCACGCACGATCTTGTAGAGCAGGAAGAAGCAGAGGCCGAGCAGCAGCAGGTTGAGCGGAGACGTGAAGATTTCTTGCAGGAGGCCGCCCGCCTCACCCTCCACCTCGCCGGGCGCCACCTCCTCGGCGGCCATGATCGCCATCGAGTGCACTGGGGGAGCCGGAGGGAGCGGAGCGGGGCTCGGGCCAAGGGCCGGAGTCTGGACAGACAGAACGAGGGCTCGGTCTCTACCCGGGGTGCTGCGACGAGTACCGCCCTCACTCTAGCACACTGAAGCGCCCAGAAACCCAGCGGCCAGAGGACGATCAGAAGGCGGGGACAGGGGAGGTGGCCTAGGGGGCGGAGTCCGCTCCGCTCAGCTCCGCTCCCCTCCCCTCCCCCACCTGCCCTGCCCCCTGGCCCCGCCTCCATCCCGCCGTCTCTCCCTCTTTCCCTTCCTCTTCCCCCCCATCTCGGCCACACCCCCCCAGTTGAAGCCTCAGCAACAGACCCCACTTCTAGTGCCCGTACCAGGGAGAGGCGGTATGGTTTAGTGGAAAGAGTGCTGGCTTCTAAACCAGGAAAACCGGGGTTCTAATCCCTGCTCTATCACTGACCTGCCGTGTGGCCTTGGGCAAGCCACTTCACCTCTCCGGGCCCCATTGTTTTTTTTTCTCCCCTATGAAATGACCCCTCAACCTCCTTAAACTGTCATATTCCATAACCTGTCAAGAAACCAATTACTAATTCCATCAAGGGAACTGGAGCTTATGTTTACCATGTCTGTGATCATTGGGCAAATCCTTTTTGCACTTCCTAGGCTAGCTCATCACTAAAATCAGGGGATTGGACTAGATGGCTTTTGTAGTTCCTTCCAGCTCTGGGTCAAAGGTCTTCTGTTCGACCTTGGGCAATGCCCTTCCCTCCCTGGGACTCAATTTCCTCCCTTGTGAAATGAGGAGGGCAGACTAAATCAAGGATGGGGTTCTTGACCTGAGACCCACAGATGGTGGGAAAGGACTATGAATAGATTTCAGGAGGTCCCTGAACCCAGCTGTGAAACAAAAGCATCCTGTTTCGATTTCCCCTCTGAGGTCTCTAACTGCAGTTGCCCTCTTGCTTGCGTTCTTTGCAAACCTTGTTCTGAGGAGGGGTCCTTGGGCCTGGCCAGACTGCGTCCCAGGCATCCCTGGCGCAGCAAGAGTTAAGGATCCGTGGCCGAGTCTGCCAGCACAGGTCCCTGCAGCCGAGGTCTAGGAGGCTTGATGTCATCCTCAGCAAATCAGAGCCTCAGCATCCTCAGCAGCCTCAGCATCATCAGCAGCATCAGCAACAGAGCCCACTGGCAGCGCCAGCTTCTTCGGGAGGCGGCATGGTCTAGTGGTAAGAGAGTTGGCTCTAGAGCCAGTAGAACCCAGGGTTCTAATCCCGCTCTTCCACTGCCTGCCGTGTGGCCTTGAGCAAGCTGCTTGACCTCTCGGGTGCTCTTTTTTTTCCCCTCCTGGACAAAACACCCCCACCTGACCCCCTCCCACCTCCCCAGAGTCCATCACCTTTGTCAAATAAAGGAATTCTCCTTTTCCTGATGGGCTCTGCCTTTGAGCCCATCGGAGGTGACTCTTTTTGTGATCACTGGGCAAATGGTTTAATTCGGGGGTCCTCAGCTTCCTCATCACTAAAAGGGGGGACTGGCCTCAGCAGGCCCTGAGGTCCCTTCCAGCTCTAAGAATGTGGATGTGACCTTGGGCAAGTGTCTCCCCCTCTCTGAGCTCACTTCTTCCTCTGCAAATGGGAAGGTTGGGCTAGGGCAGGGGCTCTTAACTTGGGGTCCACTGGTAGGGGGCCTGTGGAGAGATGTCAAGGGGTCTGTAGACCCTGATGGAGAATATTCTTTATTTTCACTAACCCTGAACTGAGGCTTAACATCCTCCAGTTCTGTATTACTTTTGCAGACAGACTGCCTGAGGGGTCCCTGCCCCCAAAAGGTTAAGAGCCCTTGGCCTAGATGGCCTCTGAGCTCCCTTCCAGCTCTGGGTGACCTTGGGCAGCTCACTACCTCCCTGGCCTCTGTTTCCTCCTCAGTAAAAAGAAGGATTGAACTTAGTGGCCTCAGAGGGCCCTTGTAGCCCTAGGAGCTTTTGTGTGACCTTGGGCAGTAAGTTCTCCTGTGCCTCAGTTTCCTCTTCTGTAAAATGAGGGGATTGAACTTCCTGATGTCTGTCGAGGCTCTAAAGCTACCATCCTATCATCCTTTCCTGAACACTGCTGCTCTCTTCCAGCTCTGGACTTAGGATCCTGTGCCCTGTCCTCAGAGAATCTGCCTATTGCCAGATGAGGGCCCTCAAATTCCTGGTGCCACCCTGGAGAAGCCCCAGGTCATGTATATTGCTTTTCTGAATCTAGCATGTTTCTTAAAAGAATCCCAGGCACTTGTGGTGTTTGCACTCTGGACTTGTTGGGGGGAAACTATCTGATTGACTAAATTACAGGCTGTACACATTCAGGCAGAACAAAGGAACAGAACATCTTCTTCAGGCTCTAATTTGCTCCCAGAGGCACCAGGAACTTATCCTTACTAGGCATTTTAAAGATCTCAAAATTTAAAATTTTTTTTTTAACTCTACCCCTCACCCCCTTTTTCATAGGATTCTAGATTGAGAGCTGGAAGGGACCTCAGAGTTCCTCTTTCATTTTACAGAGGAGGAAATTGAGTCCCAGGGAGGAGAAGTGACCTGCCCATGGTCACACATGGGTGCGTAAATCAAGAGCTAGAAGGGACCTCCGAACGTCTAGTCCAGGGGTGGGGAACCTGTGGCCTTGAGGTCCTCAAGTGCGGCCTGTTGACTGAATCCAAACTTCACAGTTGTTTGGATTCAAAAGGCCGCACTTGAGGACCTAGAAGGCCACAGGTTCCCCACTCCTGATCTAGTCCAACCTCCTTATCCTATAGATGAGGGAACTAGGGAGGTGAGTGACTTGCCCAAGGTCATGTAGCTAGTAAGCACTGGAGCAGAGATTTCCCATCAGACCCTCTGACTCCAGAGGGAACACTGGCACTACCACCAGAAATTGCATCCCTAAATTTTGAAGCTTTTCCCCACTCCCCGACTCCCTCCCTCCCCCACTCCCTCCCTCCCCCACATACCCAGGTGGGGCTCCTATTTTCTAATGCTCACTGGTTGGCTTCCCTTTTCTAGGTGGATCTGTGGAAAGTAGGCTGATCGAAATCAATGCTTAACCGATTTATTGCCTGGATACTCGTCTGGTCCTGACCACAAATATTGCAAAATTACAAGGCCTCAGTTGAGCTTGGATTTTGAACTTGGTTGCTCTCAGGTGGTAGGAGGAGGTCCCTAGGTCATCCTATCAGGCTCTCTGGACTCCATTATAATCCAGGCAAGCCCTTCAACTTATTAGTGGGCTTTGTACAAAGTCGTATCCTATTCCCCCCCCCACCCCCAAGACAATATTATCAGTGTGGGCCAGGCTCCAAGGCCACCCAGTAGAAGTCATTATGTAACAGATTCAGTACTGATATCTGGAGTCCCAGGAACAGGCAGTACAGGATGAGGAGGAAGAGAAGGAAAGGGAGTTAGAGATGATACTCAGCCCTTTAAGGGCTACAGAGTGAGCCCAAGGCAACATTATAAGATAACATGTTGCTTGCTATGTCCTTCTTCCATGCAAGGTCTTTGCTGCCAGGGTCGCACAGTCATTTTTAACCCCTGAAGGTCAGGTCCTGCTCCCCCCTGCCCCCCAAAGTGCTAGATGCTTCCAAATCCCTGACTTACCTCCTGAGTTTCTGAAGCATCCTCACTTCCCCCAGGGAAGTTTTCTTTCCTTGCCTCTTGATACCTGAATATGTCCCACTGAGGTATGAGTGACTGACTGATGGTCCCCAAACTCAGGAGCATTTGTATTTGGAAAATTAATTCGTTAAGGAGAGATGACAGGATAAATAGCCCAGTCACCTCATTTGGTATAAGGTCTAGTCATGAAGAGGGGCCAGCAACTAAAGATGACATAGAGACAATCACAAAAAAAGGCTGCGGGTATTAGGCTCGTAAATGGGTAGAGAGACTAGGTACAGTGGAAAATATGCTAACGTCAGCAGCACATATACTAAAACTGGAATACAGAGAAGATTAGCATGGCCTCTGCAAAGAATAACATGCAAATTTTTGAAGTGTTCCATATTTTTAGCTGAAAATTTAAAAAAAATAGAAAATAAAATATCCAATCCCAAAACAAGGCTCAAGGAACAGATACGTGTCAGGATACAGGGCAAAATCCATTGCAGGGTATGGCTGCCCGGTAAATACCAGGGTATGCAGACCAGCAACATAATATGGTGCTAATGCTGGTACATTCCATAACATGCAACTGGGAGCAGTTCTATAACAGGATTCTGGGAGTCCCCGTGTAAATGGATAAAGAGACCATGGGTATGGGTATGGGAATTAATGGCATAAATCTAGAGAGGGGCTACATACATAAAAGAGCAAAGCGACTAGGGATTTTAAGAGTGTATAGAGACTAGACACATAACTGGGGTACAGAGACCAACCTCATATAAGAATATGAGATATGGAAACCTCCCAGAATTTGGAGGTCACCAAAATGACAGGATTAGGGGACCAGCTACAGATGCAGAAGGCAACCACCTTACGGGGGCAAGGAGGGACCAGTTAAATTCAGCACCCGGGCATGTCATTGGGCATAGGATAGCAAGTACATACCTTGACTCTGGTGGCTGTGACCCTTAGAAGAGTACGATGATTCCTTCATCCTCTAAAGCCAGTGACTGCTGGCCCACTTCCGGTTCCTCCCTACATTCCTCCAGACTCTTTGCCTTTCCATTGGCCATGCCCTGGGCCTGGGCCTAGATGCTTTCCCTCCTTATCTCTGCCTTCAGGCTTCCTTTAATTCTTTCCAGACTCAGCTCCAAAGCCACCTTGGGCAAGAGGCCATTCTCAGCCACCTCTACTCCTCCACTCCCTAGCACTAATGTTTTCTCTTTAGATTTCTGTACTTCCTACAGTCACATAGTATATATCTTGTATCTACCTAGTTATTTGCAAATTCTCTTCCTCATTAAAATGAGAGCTCCCTGTGGGGCATTGCCCACACCCGTGGGGAGTGTTTTTGCCTTTCTTTCTAATCCCAACACTTAGCACAGTGTCTGGCACATAGTAGGTGCTTAAGAAATATTTGTTGACTGGTATTAGGTACATGCCGGCATACAAGAACCAACCACATAACAGGGTACAGGAACCTGGTAGGCACCAGAGTATAGGAAACAATCGCATAACAGCACACAGGGATCAAGGACAGATGAAGGAATATAGGGACTAGGGACATCAGAAGGTCCAGGGACAAGATATGTACCAGGATTTAGGGGCCAACCATATAATGGGGCGTAGGACCCTGGCATGTACTAGGCTATATGGAAGAATCACATAACAAAATACAGGATTCAGGGCAGCTAGGTGGCACAGTGGATCCCTGGATTAAGGAGGACCTGAGTTCGAATGCAGCCTCAGACACATAACACTTAACTAGCTGTGTGACCCTGGGCAAGTCACTTAACCCCATTGCCTAGCCAGAAAACAAAAAACAAAATACAGGGATCAGGTTATAGTGACAATAACAGCAACAACAACAGCAACAGCAATAACAATAAGAAGAAGAAGAAGCATTTATAAGGTTCTTTAAGGTTTGCAAAGCACTTTACATATATTAACTCATTTGATCTTCACAACAACCCTATGTGGCAGGTCCTATTATGATGTCCATTTTACAGCTGGGGAAACTGAGGCTGATAGCAATTAAGTGACTTGTCCAAAGTCACAGAGCTAGTAAATGTCTGAGGCAGGATTTGAATTCAAGCCGTCCTGACTTCAAGTTTTACACTCTATCCATTGTGCCACCTAGTTGCGTAAGACAAGGTCAACGAGACAAAGACCAGATACTTGAGATGGTTCAGGAACCAAGCATGTATTTAATATTTTAATATTTCCCCCCCAGTTACATGTAAAACCAATTTTAACATTCTTTTTATTTTCAAATTTTGAGTTCCAAATTTTCTGTCCCTCCCTCTCCTTTCCCTCCCCACTCATTGAGAAAGCAAGCAATTTGACATAGGTTATACATGTGTAGTCATGCAAAACACATTGCCATGTAAGTCATGCTGTGAAAGGAAATAGACAAACAACCCCCCCCCCCCCAAAAAATAAAGAAAGTAAAGAAAAAGTATCTTTGATCTGCATTCAGGCTCCACCATTTCTTTTTCTGATGATGGATAGCACCTTTCATCATAAGTCCTACAGAATTGTCTTGAATCACTGTATTGCTGAAAAATAGCTAAGTCGTTCACGGTTGATCATTATACAATATTGCTGTCACTATGGACAAGGTTCTTTTGATTGTTCTCACTTCACTTTGTATCAGTTCAGATAAGTCTTCCCATGTTTTTTCTGAAACTATTCCTTTCATCGTTTATTATAGTGTAATAGTATTCCATCACAATCCTAGACCACAATTTTTTCCAGCTATTCCTCAATTGATGGGCATCCCCTCAATTTCCAATTCTTTGCCACCACTAAAAGAGCTGCAAAAAATATTTTTGGACATATAGGTTCTTTTCCTTTTTATTTTTTAATCTCTTTGGGATACAGATCTAATAGTGGTATTGCTGGATCAAAGAGTATGCATGGCTTTATAGCCCTTTGGGCATAGTTTCACATTGCTCTCCAGAATGGTTGAATCAGTTCACAACTCCAACGACAATACATTAGTGTCCCAATTTTCCCACATCCCCTCCAACATTTGTCATTTTCCTTTTCTGATAGGTGAGGGGTGGTACCTCAGAGTTATTTTAATTTGCATTTCCCTAATTAATGTGATTTAGAACATTTTTTCATATAACTATAGATAGTTTTAATTTCTTCATCTGAAAACTACCTGTTCATATCCTTTGGCCATTTATCAATTGGGGAATGACTCTTATTTTTATAAATTTGACTCAGTTCTCTACATATTTGAGAAATGAGGCCTTTATCAGAGAAACTTGCTGTAAAGATTTTTTCACAGTTATGATTACTATGTATTTTCTTCCATCTTATTTTCCCCCTGTTTATCCTACTCTCTCTCTCCTTTGACCCTGTCCATCCTCAAAAGTGTTTTGCTTCTGACTATCACCTTCCTCAATCCATCCTCCCTCCTATCAGCACTCCTCTTCTCCCTTCCCCTCCTACTTTCCTGTAGGGTAAGATAGATTTCTATACCCTGCTGAGTGTGTATGTTATTCCCACTTTGAGTCAATTCCAATGAGAGTAAGCTTTTGTACCTCCTTTTTCATGTAACCAATTCTGCTTTTTAAGGAGTTCTCTTCAGTGGATTTTTGTACCTCTTTTACCATTTGACCTAGTCTGTTTTTTAAGGTGTTATTTTCTTCAGTATTTTTTGCGCTTCCTTTACTAAGCTGCTGACTCTTTTTTTTTATGATTTTCTTGCACCACTCTCATTTCTTTTCCCAATTTTTCCTCTACCTCTCTTATTTGATTTTTAAAATCCTTTTTGAGCTCTTCAAGGAATTCTTTTTGTGCCTGAGACCAATTCACATTTTTTTTTTCCTTTGAGGCTTTAGATGTAGTAGTTTTGACTTTGTGGTATTCTGAATTTGTGTTTTGATCTTCCCTCTCAACCATAATATCTTTCTATGGTCAGGTTATTTTTTTTTGTTGTTTGCTCATTTTCTAGCCTATTTCTTGACTTTTAACTTTATGTTAAAGTTGGGCTCTGGTCCTGGAGTGGAGAGGGCACTGCTCTTCTTCAGGTTTTTTTGTGCAGCTGCTTTCAGAGCTAGTTCTGAGAGTCTATACGTTTTCAGTTCTTCCAAGTTGGTATGATCTAAAGAGAGATGTGCTTGCTACTTTCTTGACATGTCTGTGAACAGCCACAAGCATTCTTTTCTATTCTGAAACTGGGACCAGGGTCCCCGCTTCCTTGTAGCCACAAACTCTGGTGTGCTAGTGTTCTTTCTCGCCCTAGAACTACAGTCCAGAGGATCTGTGTATGAACAATGCAAAAGAGTCCTGCACCCAGTGCCAGCAAAGGGACCCCTGTAATCTCCTTTTGACTAGTTGTTAGATCCCCTTACCATCTGTGGGCTGAGAGTTTAGGAAACCATTTGCTGATTCAGTTGCCCCAAGACCTGTCTTACCAGGGCATTGTCTGTGCTGCACTGTGCTCCACTCTCACTTTGGTGCCACAGACCTTACTTGCCAACCTTTTAAGTTGTCTTGGGCTGGAAAATTGTTTCAACCCATCCTTTTCTGGGTTCTGCCACTCCAGAATTCATTTTGAGGCATTATTTAAAGTTGTTAGGGGGAAAATTTGAGAGAGCTCAGGTGAGTTCCCACCTTTTCTCTGCCATCTTGGTTCTACCCCTTGTCTGTTTTCAAAGAGAACCAATGATATCACAGGGTAATGTCTTGGCTCATGTGTGAATTGAGTTGTACAAAGTCATCAGCCTCACTCTCTCCCTCAGAGTCACCAAAGTTCGGTAGCAGGGCAAAAGTCAAGGTGATTGGCAATGGCCCAGGATGAAGTGGACGACTGTGGTGTCTTTGATGTCTGACCCAGCTGTAAGTGTTCTGCAATGCCTGCTTTGATCACCTTCATGAATGTTGGAACAAATTGTTCTCATCTGCGCATTCCTCTGGGGAAAGTCTTCACATGTTTGGGGTAGACATCTCCTAACTCACCAACAGGTTTAAGGCCTGTAGATTACCCTCAACCTGATTTAGCCTGTCTGCTGAGATGGTTTAACTAGGGTGTGGCTGCTGAACGTGCTACAGCTTCTTAGAGCCACAAGTGAGAGTTGGGGGACCAGTTGGACACCAAAGGTGGATGAGCAGCCCTGTAAAGGGCTTGGCAAGCCCTCACACCAGTGGTGCTGGTCCTCCTTGAACACCTCATAACTCCCCCACCCCAATTTTGGAATGCTTCATGAATTTCTGTGTCATCCTGATGGAAAGGTAAAGGATTCAGAGTGCAGGATGAAACATCTCTCAGTATCTCTCTCTCTTTCTCTCTCTCTCTCCCTCTCTCTCTCTCTCTCTCTCTCTCTCTCTCTCTCTCTCTCTCTCTC